CCAACAGCTTCACGATACTTTCTCGGATCTGCTAACGTCTCACATGCATCAGAATGAACCCATTTCTGCTCACAAGGTGTTGACCTCGGCTTACAGTTTTGCATATCAAATCTTTTTAGAATGTTCTCCACATATGTTTTCTGTGACATCTTAATACACCCCGCTTCCTGAAGGAAATCTATTCCTAAAAAATTATTAAGCTTTCCCAAGTCTTTCATTTGGAACCTAGAAGAGAGCGTTTCCTTTACATCCGAGAGCACTTTTTCATTGTTAGCTGCAATAAGTAAGTCATCCACCCACACCAAAATGATTACTTTTTGGCTTTCAGTTTCCCTTGTATAAACACAATTATCAGCACGATTTTGTCTGAATCCACAACTGTGTAAATAATCATGCAATGTTTGATTCCAATTACGTCCCGATTGTTTCAATCCATAGAGTGATTTCTTCAATCTATAAACCAGTTTATGTTTCTCACTAGACTCTGTTTCAAAACCTTCTGGCTGTTCAATGTATACATCTTCATCTATTCGTGCGTGTAGATAAGCCGTTTTTACATCCATTTGAGACAACAACATGCCTTCCTGGACGGCTTTTTGCTTCAGGATTCTCACACTAGCTAAATCGGCAGTAGGTGAAAAAGTCTCTCCATAATCAACTCCCATTGTTTGACTAAAACCTTTTACAACAAATCGAGCTTTGAATCTGTTTGAGCCATCGGAGTTTCTCTTAACGGTGTAAACCCACTTACCCCCCACTGCCTTTTTACCCTCTGGTAGAGTGGTTACAGAGAACGTGTCATTTTCCTTGAGTGATTGAATTTCTTCTTCCATTGCTTTTTCCCACTGTTTTGACTCGCTTGACACAATAGCTTCAGAAAACGACTTTGGTATATCACACAACAGTTTATAACAATAATCCAGGTTAGTTAGAATTTGCTCGCTTCCGCACTCTTTTGCATCCGAGACATAATCACTTAAATAATCAGGTCTCTTTCTAACTCTGGATGGATAACGCTTTGCTCCATCGTCAACGGTTTCCTCAGTTTTGACTTCAGAATCCATTTGACTGCTTTCCATCGGCTCTGGAATTTCCACATGCGAAGTGGTTTTTTGTTCTTCTGTCTGTTCAGATTCACTTTGCTTCATAGATTCAAAGATCTCGTTTTCAAAAATGTGGTCACTCTGCGTTTGTTGATCTGTTGTGGATTGATTTAATATCTTAATCAACCTGTGTTTTTCGACTTTGCCAGATTTCGGAAAATAGACGAAATATGCAGGACTATTTCGATCATATCCCAAGAAAACCCCTTTATCACATCTAGAGTCCAGCTTTCCTCTGTTCTGTTTATAGGCATAACACAATGACCCAAATTTTTTCATCCTGGAAAGATTGGGTCTTTTCCCAGTCAGCATCGTGTACGGTGTCAGCCCTGTACGTTTATTAAAACATCGATTTCTGATCACTCCCGCTGTTTGGACGGCATATGGCCATAAAGACTTTGGCAACTCGCTCTCAATTAACATGCATCTTGCCATATCAAAGAGCGTGCGCCAGTTCCTCTCTGCCGTTCCGTTTTGATGCGGTGAATACGGCGCCGACGTTTCATGTCTAATACCGCTTCTGCTTAATAAATCTCGGAACTGCCGGCTTGTAAATTCCGTTCCATTATCAGAGCGAATGCATTTGATTTTCCCATATGAAGCCATGTCTGCAATAAACTTTTCGGTTGCTTGAGTTGTATCGCTTTTTTGTTTCAAATTATACACAAATGTCGCACCCGAAAAATCATCAACAAAGGACAAAACAAATTTGAACCCTTCTTTAGAGTTTGGTGTAATCGGACCAGCTAAGTCCGTGTGCACCAGCTCTAAAGCTGCGCTGGCTTTTTCATCTGGTTCTCGATTCCTGGTTTGCGTAAACTTTCCTTGAATGCACGCTTCACATTGTAAATTTTTGTTCGTTTTACCCGTAATTTTCATCCCGTCAACAACATTTTGTAGGTTTTGAACGTCATCATAATTACAGTGGCCTAAAATTTCATGCCATGTTTGCATATCAAAACAACCATTGCATTTGTCTTCGCACTCTTTCACAGTGTTCATAAAGAACAGTCTCTCTTGTTCATAAATTGGAAACTTTGTTCCGTCGACATGTTTAAGAAAACTGTCCCCATGTTTGAAAACCACCGTGGCTCCGTTACCAGTCGTTGCTTTAACTGACAGAATGTCTTGAGGAAACGATGGGATGTACAGTGCTTGTTTCAGTGTTACCTTGTGACTGCGTCCTCTGCTGTCCAGCATACTTATCTCGGCATCTCCACGCCGTTGCGCAGCTCCTCTGCTCCTCTTCCCGTCAGCCAACTCCACGCAGTGAGCCTCCGGTCTAAAAGTCTCATCAAAAGTCTTAAAGCTTTCAATCTTGGTGATGATGTGCGATGTCGCTCCCGTGTCCACCAGAAGCTGTGTAGTCATCATCTCTGGTCCGTCGTCCCGGATCCTCTGGAGTCTGGAACCGATCTGGAACGCGTAGTCCTTCTCCTTGTCCTCCGCGACTCCTCTTGCTTCATCTCTTTTCACTCTCCTTCTGCAGGTTGCGTCTTTGTGTGTATTACTGCAGCAATAACTGCACCACACTTTGGATCGGCACATTCTTGCTGTGTGCCCCTTCAGTCCACATTTAAAACACACAATCTTTGATCTTCCATCCACTGTTCGCCATGAAGCGGATTCCTGGTCAGGATGCACTTTTGTCCTCATTACGTTGTCATCAGTTACCGCTGCACGCATTCTCTCGGTGTCTTCATAGCTTCTCAGTTTTACTTTAAATTCTGGAAATGTGATTTTTGCATCACTCTGGGTAATGTGCACAATAAGGGGTTTAAATGTCTCTGGTAGGCCTTTCATTATCATTGCGATCAGAAGCCCGTCACTCAGTGACTCTCCAGCATTTTTTAGCGCTGTAATGATTGCCTCTGCTCGGATAATATAATCCGTCACACTCTCGTTCCTTTCATTCGTGAGAGAAGTCAATTCTGTGTACAGACTTATGATCCGTGGCTTGCCCGCTCCAGCATAATAATCTCTTAATATCTTCAGTGCTTTCCGACCGTCATCAACTGCATCTCTCATGATTAACGATAAACTTTTATCATCCAAAAATTGGATCAACTCCGCATACGTTTCGGCGTTCTTATCAGCGTCTTCGTCATCTTCTTCCTCACCTTCAGGCACCTCCGACTTTAAGATGACATCCTTCAAGCCTTGCAATCGGAGATGACCGAGGAACTTAGTTTCCCATAGTTCATACTTTCTTTCATCTCCATCAAATTGCAAACGGGAATATCGACTCCCCGACTCTGCTGCGTGTCTCCTCATGGTGCGTAAAGATGCTCACTCACTCAATCTGTGTCAAACTCCTCACACCTGCTGGTGACTCGCTGATTCAGGTACGCCGCCCTTCCTCCTCTGGTCGCAGATTCCTTCCGCCGCTCATCTGGGCCCATAACCTGTTAGCAGAGTCGCTTTCGGGCTGCGCCCTTGTACTGGAATTTGAGTGGTAATAAATGAGAGAATCATACAGTCTTCTTTCATGACGGGGGACTCCACCACTGCACCTCCGCCATCTGCTACCGCTTGTGACAGACAGTCCTTTTCCACGCAGTGGGTGGAGCCTTACCCGTCCTTTTATTCTGACATGAGTTCATTCATTATAACTTACACCTGTAGACACTCAATCCAACAATTTCCTAACTTTTTCAGAAAGTATTTCCAAAGAGCTCTCTTAACAAAAGTTAAGAAATAGTGAAAAAACAAAATAATTTGCTGGGTTAAATTTTATTGCTGGCGGGCTGGTTCTGGCTGACAGAGATGATTTGGGTGTCGGTTGTCTTTTTTGTTGGGCTGCACATTTTGGATCTGTTCTGTTAATGTGGGCTTTACCTCAAAAGAACCTTGAAATCTCATCTCTAAACAAGTCCTATTTCACAAACCAGGAATATATATATTGCTATAGATAGATCTATATAATATAATAGGCTATGTATACTTTAATTTACTGTAACTTACAATTAAATGTGTTATCTATGAAAGATTAAATGCTTTGTGGAGTGAAATAACAGGCATTTTGGGGTCAACCCCATCCTATTTCATAGACACATCTCTGGCGTTTATAACAAATCAAACGTTTTGAAAATCAGTTCAAAAATTGAGCAAGTTAGAGTCGTTTAAATAGTACATGCACCATACACCCCAATGTCAAGAAAGGGGACAGCTGACTGAGGTAAGATGGCCGCCACGTTCCTACGTCGCATCCCATTGGTGAACAGCGGGGACGAGGCATCTAGTGTTTACAGAGCTATAGACAGAGCATTGTTTATTTCTATAGTTCTGAGTATTTATATACATATTTAAGGTTACACTCTCTCTGGGGCGTCTACGTACGCTTGAACCTTGGACGCTTTCTGGACCACAACCCCGCACATGCGTCGTCTTAATGAACCGCGCAGCTCTCTTGCGCATACCCGGAAAAATAGAACTCCTCGTGCGGAGTAACACGTGCTGCGTTCACTTCATCACCATTAGAAATTCCTATGTAGCGGAAGACTCTCCTGCTTTCAAAATAAAAGATTTCAAACACTTGGCTCGGCTTGGACTCGGTTGAAAGGGGAGGTTTGGATCAAAAACTTTTCTTTTAAATCTCTGTCCTCTTTGTAGTATAGTAAAAACTGTATTTCAAAAAAATGTGATACTATAGCATGTTTTGGGTCAATAAAAATAACCTAATATTTTTACCTTGACTGTGTTAGAATGCTTTAAAATAAAAATTGTGAACTGAGCTACACTGGGCTGTAGTGATATTTGACGATATTAGTACAGCTTAAACTAAAGAACAAAAAACTTTATTTGGACACCGATTTCACATTTGATTACGTCTAGATTAAGTCCACAAATTGAAGTCCGCTTTGCGTTAAGCTTTTATTTTGAAAGAAAGTTAAGGAAGTGTCCTGTGATTCTACGGAAGCCGTAGGAGTTTTCAAGGGTTCTTCCGGAAATTCACTCATCAAACAGGTAATGCTAAAGTTTTTCTTACACGTTTAAACTGCTTTTGGTGACGTTAACTGCGTGTTCGTGCTCGCTCAGCATTAGCCATTCGTCGCTCGAGCTAAACGTGGATGCTAGCGTGTTTGTCGTGTTCCTTTATGTGAGGTTGCTGGCTTTTCGGCTAGATTTTTAGAGAAGTCTCAGACGTCTAGGTTTAAGTATTATTTAGATGTTGTTGATTTCGCTGTTGGTTAGCTTTCATGGTTGCTTCCGAGTGTCAGAATTACTTTTTTTAATGAACCGACGGTGATCGCTTTATGATGCAGCATAATATCTGTTTATTATTCTGTTTGTGTGTGTTCTTAATTATCTGGTTGTGACAGTTTAACATAGCTAAGATGGACCAAAGCCATGCAGAACAGCATGAGCAGAAACCAGCACTGGGAGAGCAGGAGGAGATGGACATCACCATGGCAACACAGTTAGAAAGCCTCATCGTGTCTCCACATGTTGCAATGGCAGCAGGAACTCACATGTGCAGAGAGGACACTGCATCAGCAGCACTGCCTGTGGAAAGCGTGTGTGAGACAGCAGGACCAGGTCCCGCTCACACTCAGGAAGTTGTGTGTGAGACAGCAGGACCAGGTCCCGCTCACACTCAGTTCAGTGTGTGTGAGACTCCTGGACAAAGTTTCGCTCACACTCAGGAAAGTGTGTGTGAGACAGCAGGACCAGGTCCCGCTCACACTCAGTTAAGTGTGTGTGAGACACCTGGACAAATTTCCGCTCACACTCAGGAAAGTGTGTGTGAGACACCTGGACAAATTTCCGCTCACACTCAGGAAAGTGTGTGTGAGACGTGGGTAAATAGTCCTGTGACCCCAGATGACCCCATAGCAGCCAGCATTCAAACCCATGAAGAAGAAGCAGGAGGTGACCAAACCCAGGAGCCAGTGGGTGCTGTTTGTGAGTCTAGAGACTGTGATGAAGATTCAGACAGGTGCGCGCACACAAACACACACAGCACTCGTTTAGCATCATTCCCTCTGTGTACTACATAACGCAACAGTAAACAGATGTGCTGATGCTCCTTATTTCCTTTGTTTGGTGACAGTTCCTCCTCCTCTTCATCTTCGTCTTCCTCTGCCCTTTCTGCCCTGGTGGTTGATGTTGATGTGGAAGAAGATGGAGGTTTCAGCCAACCAGTGCCTCTCAGAACCAGAGATGAGGTCTTGCTGGAGGTTGGTTTGTTTGTTTTGGTCCAGCTGAGGTCTTCTGTCCCACATTGTTGAAGTCCCATTAAGCCCAGTTTATGCTTCTGCTTCAGCTCCACGAGGCAGAGACGCACCCACAATCGATGTGTTTACACTACAAGAACTTCAGGGTAGATTTACAGGAACCTGCCGACGTGCGCGCGGCTCCACCTGACCCGGTGGAGTAGCTGAGTGGAACCTCCTTTTAACTCACACTGATAGGTTGTAACTCATTTGGAAATGATATCAGCTGACGTCCAAAACAACCGGCAGCAGTAAAATTAGAAAAGCAGCTGGTGAAGCAAAATGGAAGCAAAAAAGAGCACCGATCGCATTTAAAATCTAACTCCCGACACCGGAGAACTCGGTGGAATTCCCCCACAGACTTAGTTAACGGGGCTTGTCTCACAAAACTCAGAGCTGCTCTCGTCCTCTGAATGGATTAAATTATGATGTATTCTATAAAATAAATGCTTTCAATATTATTCATGTTACTTTGGGCGCTTTTTGGGGCTGATCAGTGACATCACTCACTGCCAAACAGTGATACGCTGACGTCTGTGCGACTTCTGAAAGGGCTGGATTTGAATAGAGACACAACAGCTGAGAGGACTGGGACGTCCTGTCCCCTGGTCAAGTTCCCCGTCTCAGGAACTAGCCTGGACTTCTGGTAATGGAAACATGCCTATTGATGGAGACATTTTGCCTTCGGACTTCTCCGTCTCCCGGGGAGCGTTACAAAGCAATTCCCCGCCAGGACAACAGAGGGTGTAGCGCTGTTCTGGGGTATCCTGTCATGTATAGACCCTTTTACTGTTTGTAAACAATATGACGTCAGCGCGAATGCGCGCGCAGCTTGGCAACAGAGAATGGCGTTGTTTCAGGCTTTATCAAGCTACGCTGCGGGGTAATCACCGGCAAATCTTGAATGTTATATTATTAAACTCACTTTAACGAATGGCAACAGACTCCCGGATCCCTGTGGCATTACGGAATGGGTGGAAGATGTAGGTGCGTGGCCAGAAATCCAGTGGCCCGATATATATACGTTTTTAGTGGAGAGGCCCAGTAAGTACACACATGAGAAGCTATGGGCATACAAATCGTTAGATGCATACAACTATGTTGTCTGTGGCCACGTACAGAAAGTAAAATATCACGACATAGACTCTGAGTTTTGCATCTTGAAGGCAGAAGTCCTTCCTAGCCAAAGACAAGGACACAAGACTGCTACGTACGAGGCTTGGGTCATAGTAAACACACCAGAGAACTACGTCTTCACAGCCAACTGTACCTGCATGGCAGGGTGAGGATAGCATAGGTTTCTTTTTTTAGCGTGCTCAGAGTACAATCGTGTTAATTTTAGAGAAATACAGTTTATACTAATATGCAGTGGGAAAATACAGATGAATTAGAATGAAATGTTAATTTGAAGCATGAAATAAAGCGTATAAATTTGTTTAATTCTGTCATTTTGATGTTCCAGACTTGGGTCATGCTGCAGCCACGCAGCAGCAATTTTATTCAAAGTTGAGTTTTGTGTTAGGATGGGAAAAACAGAAAAGGCTGCAGCTACATCTCAGACATGTGCATGGAAAGACCTGAGCAGGAAAAATGTAGAACTTCGGAATTCTGTAAAGTTTCAGTCCACCGCTTGAAGAGAAGCGATTCTGGCTTCCATACACGCAACAACCCGACATTTTTATGTGCTCAGAACTTCAAAACAAAGGGTTTAAAAAGCTGTTTTAGTGTCGAGTGTGAATGAGGAAGCCTTCACTCTCGTTGCCAGGCTGCGCGCGCAACTTTTGATGACGTAGGTAGTAAAAGGGTCTATATGGCCCAAGATTTACAATAGGGAGCCTAAATCACACCCATCTACTTCCGGACCACGGGTCTCCAGAAGAATGAAACAATGAATGCAAGTCAACGGGGCTAAAAACGCTATTTTCTAACTCCGCTTGTTTTGTTCCATGGATTTCACACATGATGTCCGTGAATTTTAAGGAAGTATTTTATACCAAGAAAGCGCTTACTATAGAACGGGGGGAAACGCTCTTTTAGGGTTTGTGTGCAAATAAGTCCAGGACTACAAATGCGCTTCACCAAAGTGACGTCATCGAACCAGACATGGAGGAAACAGGGAAAAGGGCTGTAAGTTCAGCAAACCTCGAGTCCTTCCTTCAGGAGGGAAGAGCCACCATAAATCTGGTCATGTGGTAAGCAGCAGCCACGCTAGAGGAGATTATGTGGTGAAGTCGCAAATGCGACGTGCAGAGGTAGTCACACCAATTACGAACTTTTACAAGCTGATAAATCTCCAAGTACGTGACTGGCTTGGTCGAAGCACCGTCAGTAGTTTTCATTTAAATTGTGGTACAACCAGTGTTGGGAGTAATGCGGTACAAAAGTAATTAATTACTGTAATGCATTGCTTTTTGCTGTAATGTGGTAATGTAAGGCATTACAGGGAAAGAAAATGGTAATATTTACTCGGTACAATTGTCAGTAACGCGGTAATTACAACGTATTTTTAAACCCAGAATCAAGATGTGTTCCTTAAAAATTCAAATTGCGGGAAACCCGAAGAAAGATCCAGTATCTGCATATATTACGTCATTTAAGGACTCAGCTTTGCGGGCAGAGAGGACGCCGCGGTAACGGCTTCAGCTGCGTCCTGCACGCAGCCGCTGCAACATTCACAAAATCGCTCCACTAAAACAAAATAATTCACTTGCGATCGTTCATATCAGCGCATATTCTCTGGTATTTTGTGCTTTTCTGACGTATTTTGCCTCAGCTGAGTTCATAATCTGGGCCCCGGTGATTTCAACTCATTACTGCTGGAGCGCCGCACATGTGAAGATCCCTTTGGCTGATAGTTAGAAAGTAGGAAGTCTAGGAAACAGTTTTTTCTGGAAGACGGAGAAAACATGCAGCATGCAGGAAGGTTAGAGAGAGAAAGGGCAGGAAATTATTCAAATAAAATCAAGAAAAAAATAAAAAAGTAGGTAGATTTACCCCCAATACACATTTTTACCAGTGAAAAGCAATAATATATAAGCATTTAATATTTATACATGTGATAGAATCAGATCACCCCAGAAGTCAGTCCCACGTCCAGGGCCGTATCAAGGCATTTGGGGACCAAAGCAAATATAGGCTTGGAGCCCCCACACTCCCTGCTCAGTTAATCTAAGATGGCAGCGTGCTGAGAGTACAGATTGTTGTTGCTTTTATTTAATAAAGCACTGTTATTATATCTGACTGTTTTTAACAGCAATCCTAGCTCAGACACCACATCACCTTCCACATATATGTCATGAGCTCACCGAGCGTCACCTTACCAGATTCATACTGAAGTTGTATTGGTGAAAGTAACTTAAAGTAATGCAAAAGTAGTGTAATGCCTTACAATTTAAAATCAGTAATATTGTAATGTAATGAATTACTTTAAAATGAGGGTAACAAGTAATAAATAATGCATTACAGTTTTGAAGTAACTTGCCCAACACTGGGTACAACACGTGTGTGATCTCTAAGGCTAAGCGGATCAGAAAACAACGTTTTCAGCCTCGTTCAGGGACCCTCGAGCCGGCAGGGAGGAGACTTGCGCTCCCTGTTGTGTCCATATTCTGTTCATGTATTTAAGAGACGTTCTAACACACATTTGTCTCTCGTTCTCCTCCACCTCTTCATGCGCTCGCCCCCTCTAAACCCACGTTTCCCATCATTTGCATCCATCAAAAATAAGCTTGCTGCATATTTTTTACTGCTCTAGTCAGGGGTGAGTAACGACTTTGTATTTTTCCACGAGGTATTCTTTAAGCAGCGCCATGTCTGTCGCTAGACATCTTTGGCTACCTTTGCGTTTTTGAGGGCGCAATGGCAGTGCTGTTGACAAAAGCGACCCCCCCGACCAATCACAAGCTTGCGTTCTCCGTCTTGTTTGACGGATGCTTAGAAAAGCGGGCTCGACTTCATCCGCCCCTAGCAAGGAGGGATAATGGCGTTGCCACGGCGACGCAGAAGCATAAACTAGGCTTTGGTCATCACACACTGGCGAAACTACATCTCTGCTTGTGACCCGTTCCTGTTGTGGTCATCGCTGCTAGCTGGTTTAACCCCCAATCCAACCCCTGACGGCTGAGTGTGAAACAGGGAGTCACTGGGTCCCATTTCTAAAGTCTTTGGTATGACCCGACCGGGATTAGAACCCCGACCTCTCAGGCCCACGGCGGACACTGAGAAGGTTGTGGTGGAGGAAGTTGTGGGCAGAGACAAAGATCAAGTCTTTTCTTTTAGCCGTTTTTGAGTGTATGTGGCTTTAGACTCTCAAACGTAGAAACACAAAGGTTTTATTTCTATTGTTTCAGGAAGCACGCGGTGCTTGCTGAAACCGGTTAGTAGTCATTGTATCTCCTAAAGATGAAAACTTGCCTTCAGTTATTGAAACATCTGGATGTGTGTGAGCAGGAGCTTCCCCCTGCAGAGGAACTGTGTGTGACCCTACCGGACGAAGCAGAGCTGCAGCCAGTGGGGACCATCTCCAGTATTCTACAGCAGCTCGGTACACACACACACACACACACACACACACACACACACACACACACACACACAACCTCATTCTCATCAGAGGTCATTTACCTTTGACCTCTGTGTTGGGTAATTTTATCAATCCAAGATTACCTTAGGGAAAGTTTAAAACACGGGGGGTTACAGTAACCAATCAATCAACACCAATACCAATCATTAACAATCAATTTAGACTTTGCAAAGTGGAGAGAAAAATCAGTACACACCAAGACTGAAACCAGTTCGTTCTCTCATCAGACTGACGTCCTCCGAAAGCATTTATTGAAAACACCAGCACACACACAAAAATGAAGCACACACACACACATTCCTTAGACTCTCAGGCGGGAAAGCTGTGGAGGGAGTCTAAACTTCTAAAGCTCCAGGTGCACCCAAAATCAACAGAAGCAATCGCTAGACTTTCTCAAGGGAGTTTTACTGATAAAGGTCGGTTCCGAGGCGAGGTCAATCCTCCGTGTAGGAACTGGTGGAGCCTGGTATCTGTCAACAGGATGAAGCTGTGGTTTAATAAGGAGCAGCCAAGACATTAACTCATTCACTGCCAATGACGACTAAAGTCGTCATTTGCATTTTTTTACTGTTTGAGCATCGGAACGAGCCCCCGCGCTGAGAGAACTAACATCTCTGCCCTGAGGCCGATCTTCATCCGCATACGTCACAGATCACATGATCAGGAAGCAACACATCCATGTGTTTGGAGATCGTTTTGGGCCGTTCCTGTAAAAAAAGTCAGGCGCGAACCGGAAAAGCGTCTGCCGATCACAATTCGACAACGGATTATGAAAGAACGGATAACGCTCGAAACACGCGGCTTCTTCCTGATGTAAGAGGTGAGTCTCCGCTTTGTTTTGGTTGTTTTGGCGTCGACATCATGCTAGCGCGCAACGTTCTGTGACTCTTAAAAAACAGTAAAAACAGTGAAACGCTGGCAGCGAAGGCCGTTAGGGATCAGGAAACGGCTGGCAGTGAATGAGTTAATATTAGTTCAATAATAATAATATCAGTTTTTATCTAACACTCTGTGTCCTTTGCTCAGTGATCATCCAGTCTCTGAAAGACACGCCTCCTCTCAACGACAACAGCATCCTCTTCACGTCTGATCGGCAGGCCGTGGCGAAGGTGAGTTCGCCTGCACTGACCTCACGTTAGAGGCGTCTGGTAACTTCCTGGGCAATAACAATGTTCTCTTTGTGTTGGAGGTGTTCGAGGTGTTCGGCCCAGTCTCCAGTCCTCTGTACATTTTACATTTTAACTCTGCAAAGCAGATCAGCAGCAAGGGGCTGACAGAGGGCCTAATGCTTTACTACGCGCCAGCCATGGCAGAATACACAGAGTACATCCTCACACAGCAGCTGAAACAGTAAGAACACACTCCTCCTGTCCACAGGCAGGGACGCACCCGTACCGTTACTTTTGAGTACTGCCAATACCGATACGAGTACTAATAAATGTCAGTACAGTAATCCCTCGCTACTTCGCGGTTCGTTCATCGCTGATTCGCTGCTTCGCAGATTTTTTCTTTGGAGCATTTTTCAGGGGAAATTCGCAGATTCGCGGTATTTTTCTATGCGAAATATCAAGAAATTCTTGGGGTTTTTTTTCACCAAAAAATGCACTTTTTGTAATAAAACTAAAAAAAACCAAGTAAAAAAATTTTTTTATTGAGTTTTACCCACAAAAAGAGAACGTGATCATACGATAATTCAATATAGTACTGTATGTCAGACAGGTCGGCTGGATTCTGGAGCTGAGCTTGTAGGGAGCGTGGTTTCACAGACGCGGAAGTGAGAGCGTCGGTGAAACGCCGGCTGATCTAGGAAACCCCCGAGCGTTCGAGCGTCAACGAAGTGACACGGAAATGCCGGGCTTTCCAGAAGTAAGTAAGATAACTTACTATGAGCTGATAGTTCGTTGGATTGATCGGTAGGTTGGAAACTCTGATCGTGAATCTGAAGAAACGATGACTTGAGTGGTGAGCTGGAAAGGCGACTTCCGTTTATAGCCGCGGTTTGTGACGTAGGTGCGACGTGGAGGGAATCCCCGCGAGGGGCATGCTGGGAGTCCCTACTTCGCGGATTTTCACCTATCGCGGCCAGGTCTGGAACGCATCTACCGCGACAAACGAGGGATCACTGTACACTCCTTAAAGCTGCTGTAGCAAATCTGCAGAACAAGCTTTACTAGTGACGCGCCGATGTGAAGTTTTTGGGCCAATACGACGTCCGATATTAATCCCACCGTTATGGCCGATAACCAACAAACTGACATTAATGCTTCTAAATCAGCAGATTTTGTATAGAATGAAAATTATTAAAGCTGAATTTACGTTATTATGTACACACACTTACGCTTGTGAGGTGATTACAATCACTGACACATGACTAAACAGATGCACATCACCCCCTGAAACAGATAAATAAATGGAAACAGGATGGAAGAAATATCAGTTGTCAATATCAGCCAAGTTTTATTTATCAGACCGATACCGATATGTTAAAAAATGACTAACATCGACCGATACCGATATTGATGCCGATATATTGTCCATCCCTAAGCTTTACCACTGCTTTAAACACAAACAGTCACTTAACTCTCATCCCTCCCTTGAGTATCGATGCCAGAGGAAACGAGACAGTCGCCGTTTTCTAGGTCCAAACATCTTTAGTCGTCCGAGACTTCAGATGGTGTTTTTCTTTTTGGGACTCTGGTAGTTTGTCCTAAAGCCGAAGTGGTAGCAGCCGGCTGTTTCTCCTTCTCCGATATCGCTGAGCGGAGAACCTCTCACACCCGTGGTGTTCTGATGCCGAATACGTGAGTGTGTGATGAGTGGAGGACCCAAGGAAGTGTGGCGGATCGGTGAAACCGACAGCCGGATGGTTCAAGAGTTGCTTTTGGTCCGAAACGTGTTGTTGGTGGAGGTTTTTACACAAATATCAGAGAACCACTTTAATCTTTTTTTTTTTTTTTTTCAAATCTCCACAATATATTTGTAGCTCTGTGATGTCAGAATGTTAAGAGGCATGAAAAAATGTTTAGTTTCCAGTTTTTCATCCGACACACTGAACATACAAACACTCTCAGGGCCCGTTTCTAGTGTAGAACTATCCTCCTGTTGTATTTTACCACCCTAGAACTACTCTCAGTGTAATGTTACATTAATTTCCCTGGAGACGTGTGTCTTCACTAGTCTCACGATTCAGTTCCATTACGATTATTGTGTCAGCAATTCAATTTGATAAAATGGATCACCTTACAGTAATGAATGAATTGAGCATAACGTTTATTGTTGAAAACCCTTATTTCAGATCTTAAATTCACCAAACGAGTCTACCTGATCATCATTTATGTCACATAACATTAGTATATTAACAAATGTTATTTACTTCACATCGTAAGTAAAAAACAAACCTTTTTCAGTTTCTTGGAAAAGGGCGTGACGTCTGAGGACTTCTGTTAGCGCCTCTTCTGACGTCTGGTTGGTGTAAACTTAGAAAAAACAGACCTCTAAAACAATGGTCTGAGACTTCAGTTTAAGCTAGGTGTCGCAGCCTTCATGCTAAATAATCTCTAGTTGGGATCAGACCAGCGGCCTCATGTATCAAACGTTCTTAGAAACTGTCCTATATTCCCTCCTACGCCCGAAATGTAGAGTGTGTGTACGAACAGTGAAAAGATTGATTTATGAAACGTGCGGTGGCCTCCTACGTACGTTCCTCTGCAACTGTCTGATGGTAAATCCCACCTGTGCGTACCCACACGTAGGCGGAGGTAGGCTACCCTCTCATTCACTGGGGTAAACCCCAACATACAGGCACCAAGATGGGGGGCAACTAGTATGCCTACCCCTGCTCGGCGCCTCTCAGTGGGAGCAGCACCAGAGTGGTAGAAGGTCCAACCCTTCTCAAGGAAACTGGTTCCAGAGCCAGAGCCATGCGTTGAGGTGAGTCCGACTACATCTAGTCGGAACTACTCAGCCTCACACACCAACTCAGGCTCCTTCCCCACCAGAGAGGTGACATTCCATGTGCCTGTTAGAAAGTATCTGAAACACACAAACACGGAGTAAACACAATAGTAAACACGTGACACGTGTAATGGTGGCAGGATTCCCCCAGTAGCGCTACGCCTTACGCGGTGGAGTTGCTTTGGACACACAAACACAAAACAGGTACTTTGTCCCAGCTAGAAAAGGTTGTTGTTGTTTATGTTTGTCCTTCTGGCTGTTTGACACACGAGCTGTCCTCATGTTTAAAACGTGACTCTACAAGAAGAAAGCAATTATATTTGCCAGATAAATCTTTTTAGCAAAGTAGAAGTCAAAGTCCCATTAGTTGTCACACACACACAGGTGTGTGTGCGAAATTTGTTCTCCGCATTTGACCCATCCCCTGGGGGAGCGGTGAGCTGCAGACACAGCCGCGCTCGGGAACCATTTGGTGGTTTAACCCCCCAATCCAACCCCTTAATGCTGAGTGTCAAGCAGGGAGGCATTGGGTCCCAATTTTTCAAAGTCTTTGGTATGACCCGACCAGGAATCGAACCCTGATCTCCCAGTCTCAGGGCGGACAAGTAGAAACCCAGCTACAGCCCTAACCTGAACAGAAGACCTTAGATCACTCATTACCAGCACCATTAATCTGTTCAAACATCAGACTATGAGCTACTGAAGTATGAACTTGATTCTCCTTAGTCCACCTGGCAGCACCTCCACATTGCTGATGTAGCTCTTCCCCTAACACCCAGCTGAGTAAACGGTTTGTTCAGCCTGCTACCGTAAACGTCCGCGGCTTTGTCTTTTATCTGGTTTGGATGAATTTTTTTAGGGTGCATCTCTGCTGCTTACTGGGGGGTTGGTTAGACGAAAACAAACTTCCCATCACGCTGGTATCAGGGCCTGTAGTATTGGAGCACTTTTATAGGAGTACACATATGCAGTAGCAGCCCAGCACCAGGTGCCGGTATCGTCACTAGTGCGTCCCTATGATGAAGCTGCGCCTGTCGAGCAGAGGTTTAGCCTGTTTGATGTGATGAGCTGCAGCTGCCTGTAGGAGCTTTAACTGTTGTGTTTTCCACAGCGTAAAAGGATCCGATGCGTCCTGGAAGAACGATGATGAACCACCAGAGGAGGTAACCAGTAGAAACAGGTCCTGCTTTAGAAAAACTAAACACAGAAACGTTCAGCTGGACTGGAGTCTCGCTGTTTTCCTTTGGTTGATTCAGACATGAAAGCATGTCCTCTGAAGTGGTCCTACCCCTGAGTCATGTTGTTTAGGAAAACAGAGGTCGTTTTTAGCCATTTTGTCAGACATGTTGGGTATTCTAAAGCACCTTGTACACATATTTCCATTACTTAAGAGTTTTCTTTTATTAAAGCTGTTCAGTCAGTCAGGGTCCCATCAATTACTTTCTATTAAAAACGGGATTATTCTAATTATTCTCTACTAACAAGATTAGACAGAATAAAGATGAACAAAGTGGAAATCTGTACAGACCACATTTTAGTTTGGTCAGTTTTATTTTCTTGTTTGTTTTTGTGCTTTTTAATCCAAAAACAGTCTATAAAACACACACACACGCACTGCTGGGTGATAATCGGTCTGTTCTCTTCCCTCCAGGCTTTAGACTACAGTGACGATGAGAAAGAGCAGGAAGCAAAGAGGAAAATTAAAAATGCCAAAAGAAAGGAAAATGGCCACACAGGTAGGTCCAATGGTCACCTGGTCATGATGTCATCACTCAGGCATTACATTCGCATCAGAAAACCAAACCGTTTCCATGACTAGACTGACTTTTAAAAATGCACGTAAATGCGTTAGTCTTGCTGAAGACACGCTGGTTCTTAAAGTAGGGACTCGACTTCATCTGCATGTACACAGCTCAGTTGAGCTGATACTGGTTACTTCTGGATGTGACGAGACCGCAGGAGCGCTCTTCTGATAATATCGTCGCCACAAAATAACACGTGTAACACCGTCAAACCGGACAGTACGTACCAAATGAGCTGTGTTCATTCCGTCTGCCGTTCTGCATATCCTGTTTTAACTTCTGCTTCGTTCTGCCAGCGTTTGCTTACCATTTGTGTTGCTTAAAGCTAACCGGAAGTAATCCGACACAAAAGCATGTCGCCACCTACTGCACCGGAGTGGAACAAACTTCGTTTGAGAGTTTGGTTTTCTAACGTACGTGTAAACTAGGATAAAGACTCCCAGGTTATGAGTTTTAGACTCTGACCTAGATCCACTTAGATGTGCATGTAAACGCACTGACTTACAAAACAAACAAGCAGACAGGACCAGGTCTGCTGTTACCTGAAGGTTCTGGAATGTTTGCAGCTTCAAGAGCAAGTCACCCCCTACCAGATTCTTACTCAACTCCCACTTCCTGTTTGAAAAATGCAACAAATGATGTTGCCTAGCAGACCGAGAGGGCGGAGCCGCTAACAAACACACACACACAGGCTCACAACGACATTGTGACATCATATGGTACCAGCTAACATTCTAAGGTACCCCTTAGCCAATAGCGATAGCAGATTTAAATTCAAATGCAGTGCAGAGTTTTTACCTGACAACGGCACAGCACTGACAAGTTTTAGGCAGAGAATTTAAATTTTAACTAAAATGCATTAAAGTGCATTTAGACATGCATTTATATAGTTTATCAGAAAAAAATAAGTTGATTTGGGGTGACTTGCTCTTCCAGGATTAAAGCTAATTTCCATTCTGTTACTTCCATGTCGTTAGCCCTTTTTAGAAGATGCGCATGCCGGCAAATCAGCATTGTGTGTCTTATGAATGCGGCGTTAAGGAGTCTTTCTGCATTAGTGCCGCTGTGCTTGGTAGTAACATTACTGCAACGCCAGACTTGTGAGTGCATATTACGCCTTGGTGCAACAGAAGGAGGTGTCATGATCACGTGTGGAGTTACTGCCGAGCTTTGGCTGGCAACTATGTTGAAAATGAAAGTAAAAACTGGCCGTACGTTTTGCTTTTGTTAAGAAAACCAACTGAAACCATAAACTGGAGTGATGCAGAGCTCCAGGAGCCTCTCTCCATTAGAGATGGAGCTCAGATCACCAGAGACTACCCAGGGACTGTGGGGGACAGACACCTTTGGGAGCAGCTTGTCAAAAAACCCAAAGAGCACGGCTTTGATGGCAATAAAAAACAAGTAATGTCCAAGATAACCAGAAGTCCACTGCAGCGCAGAGACTGCCCCCATGTCCCCTTTATACCGCCATCGCCACAGACTGACCACTTATAAATGACCTACGGCTCCCTGATGCCACCGCGGCATATTGGCGTCACTGTTTACTAAAAGAGGCTTTCGTTAATGTGTGAGTCAGCTTGAGGCCTGGCAGAGTCCACACCGGCACTCCGGCCAGCTTGACTCTGGGTCAGACCAGCAGAAACTAAACCAGCTGTTTTTCTCCTTTCAGATAAATCTGCTCAGATTACCCAGAGGTCTTTGCAGCAGCAGAGACATCATAGAACACGGGGTTTCCCACCGCGACACGCAGGATCCCGAGTCAAGCAGCAGGACCCCAGAAACACCCCCCCTCAACATCCCCACTCTTTCCTTCCTTCTGCTCATCCCGATGTACTTCCTGTGTACCTCCCCCCTTCCTGCCAGTACCCTCCTCCTCTTTTCTCCCCACCTAGCTTCCCCTTCTACCCCCCTACTCCTCCTCCTCCTCCTTCCTTCTTCAATCCAGCATTCTCCTCCTCTGTTTGGCCTCCAAACTCTGTCCCATTCTGCGACTTCTCCCTCCCTCCTCCTCCTCCCCCTCCCCCTCCTCCCCCATCACCTCCTCACTGACACACCACTGTCCCTTGGAGGAGAAACAAATGGCCTCTACCCTGAGCTGCAGCTCCTCCTCAGTCAGAGATGTTGACTAAGTCTGAGCCCGGGTCATTTGGACTAAGAACTAAAACCATCTGCTTGTTTTGCGTTTGTTGGCTCAGTTTCATCTCAGTGACCCAACAACAACAACAATGATGGGAGTTTGATGGACCTTTACCTGCGAGAGGTTCTTTCCGTCTGAGGTGATATGTGTTGAACCACATTCCTGCTTCCTGTGTGTGTGTGCATGGATAACCTGGATTATTAATGTAAGCTGGTGTTTTTCATGTGCTGTTTAGACCTTTTGTTCTGACTGGTGTACATTTATTCACTGCGTTTCAGAACCATGGTCTTCCTCCTGGACATGTTTGTGTCATAATCTGCACATGATGAATAAACAACAAGTGAACAAGTTTGCTGTGTGTCTTTGCTGAGATCCACATGTGATGCTACTGCTGCCTGAGTGTAAACAAAAACGTGTTTTCGTTTAACTGGAGACTAAATTGTGCTGCTGTGTGATGGGTGGCAGGGACATTGGCATTTTGATCCTCAGCTTCAGAAGCTGACCCTTGGTATGTGGAACGTCACCTTGAGAGGTTCTGGCTAAATATAGTCTGACTCACCTTGAGGCATGGCTCTGGCTCCAGAACCAGTTACTTTGAGAGGGGTTGGACACAACCGCGCTTGAGTTGCCTCCACTGACACGGACATGCCCCCCCCCCATACACACACACACACTTTTTCCAAAGTCAAGCTTTGACCCCTGCACTTTTTACCATCCAAAAACAATATTACGCTATTTTAAATTGACACTGGTTGAGCTCTAGGACCAAGCAGAAAACAACAATTTGTGTTGAAGCCCGTTTCCCATTAGAACATACTGTAAAGACCCCCCCCCCCACCACTTCTAAAGTGAAAATTACGTCCATGGTCACAAGACACACAGCAGCTGGGAGCTCTAAACTGGGTGGCTATAAAATACAAAGAACCAGCACATTTATAAATGTTTAAAAGAGCATAAAATCACGTGTAACAATAATCTGTAAAACAAATTAAAACTAGAAGGTAATAAAATGTTTACATAGAAGATTATTAAAAATGATTCACCTTTGCTACGGGTAAGGCTTCACGTCAGGCTGGACAAATGCATTCTTGCAGACTAAATCAGTCTGATAGCCAATGTCTTGGGTAGATTTAGCCTGAAAAAAAAAATAGAAGCACATTGTTGTTGGAGTTTATAAAGTCAGACAATATACAAAAGAAACTGTCAGATATAGGCGCTTTATAACATTCCTAGTGTGTGATCGTTGTTATAACGTAAAAGTCAGTCACACATGATGTGGAGAGCCTGAAATGCGACCTCCTGAACAGAATTCCTTACAGAACCGGGTCACGCTGTGCTGGATTTCACGCTCTAATGATGTCTGTCAACTAGTGCTTCGTTAGTTAGAGTCACTGTTGCAGAATCGACTGACACAAAAACAACCCGAATTTTCTCCGAGCCTGACAGTAATAGTCATGTGGACCGTTTCGTCGGCCAGGGCTTCGAGATATGTTCCGATCCGCCGCTGATTCTAAACTTACATCCCGTTCCACATTTTGTGAACTTGACAAATCTGCCCGAAGGCAGTGCAGACCTAAGTGAACCACGTCTCTCAAACTTTGCATTTAGGTAGGGAATTGAGCTGCAGTACTTCTGCGGTCAGGTCTCTCTACGAGTCCGAGAGCTCCACAAGCAGTCAGCCCCGTCCAAGAGCTCCACGAGCGGTCAGTCCGCGCAGCAGCTAGTAGGCGCCGCATCGGTCAGACATGCACCGGGCTGACCGCCGGGGAGAACCGGGTGGAAGAATGGAACACAGAAGTGTCCCTCCAAGAGCTCCGTCATATTTCAACCCATTTTTATGTTAAATGCACTGGGTTTTACCCTTGTACCCATCGACATATGCCCTATTAATTATTTTACCGTGTTTTACATCTAAATTTCATGGTTAAACAGTACATGCTACATGTTAAAATGATAGTTAGCTAGCTACTTCGATAAACTCAGCTAGTTTAAAGGCGGCAGTGGCCTAAAATACATACATATAATTTAACTTACCGAAAAAAAATGAAGTGGAGACTCCTTGGACGCTCTATTAATGCAATTAATGCCACAGCAAGTCATTTTGTCCAACAATTGCACAAATAATATCCAAAACAGAATACACAAACAGAGAAACTCAAAATCCCGAAACAGTTTTCAGGCCAGACCGAGGCTCACCTGAGGCCTTTCCACGGAGCTAGCTCTGTGGTCACGTGGGTCTGAGGCGGCGGTGTCGGATGCTCATTAATTATACAGAATTTTAGGCTTTTAATACACTTAAACAGAAGAGTGAGAAAAAAATTCACCCCCCTCAGAGTTGTCATGAGTGTAAACTAGATAATTTAAACCAAAAACATGTTTTGGTACCAGGCTGTAAACATGTTTATTTCTGCTGTGAAATTGGTATTTTTAACATGGGAGTCAATGAGGATTTGCTCGCTTCTGACACCAGCCCCTAGTGGATGAGGGTGGAACTGCAATTTTTGGTACTTCTGGGTTCGCCTCAATTTTAAAGCCACATTGTGGGGGCCTGGTACACACACAGGTGCTCACATGGTGCTCTCATAAGTATGGACTTGGGCACGTTCAACACAGGTCTTAAGGCTACGGTGGGCACTTAATGCACTGTGATTTATTATTGTGTGATTGTTCAGTTAAACTATGTTGATTATGTATGTCTTCATCAAGTTGATGCAGTGATAGCTTGATCTTGTTGTATTGTTGTTGTGTCCCTTTTTTAATTTTTTTTTCTTCTCTCTTTCTGCAGGTCTAGAAGCAGATTCTTGTTCATTATTGTTTATTTTTGTGGACCCCCCCCCCCCCCCCCCCCCCCCTCTTTTGTCTCTTCCTTTCTCTTTCACCTCTGTCTCCGTGTCTGGTCAGAATTAAAAAGCATTCAAAAGCAATAACAATACAGTTTTAAGTATCAGGCGCTTTGATGCTCCACCTGAGAGTAAATCTGTAAGGCTTGTCACCAGCATTCAGACATCAATTCTGTTTGCTTCACAGCCAGACAGGACACACACACACAAAAATAAAATAAAATAAAATAAAGAATAAAAATATATAATTTTACTTACCGAAAAAAATTTGGTGGAGACTCCTTGGACGCTCTATTAGTGCAATTAATGCCACAGCAAGTAATTTTGTCCAACAATTGCACAAATTTTCACGTATTCAGAGATAGTTCTGAAATTTGACTTCTTTTTCCCATTTTCTTTGTTTCTCAGGAGGAGATCCAGGGTCCTGATGACCAGCCAGGATACCAGCATGTCCTGAAGCTGGCTCAGGCCCTGGTGGAGCTCTGCCAGAGCGTGACAAACAACGGATCGTCTAACCCAGGGGTGTCAAACATGCGGCCCGCGGGCCGGATCTGGCCCGCAAACGGGTTAAATCCGGCCCGCGAGATGGTTGTGTAAACTTTATTTTCATACTTTACAATGTAGAGTGAAAATAAACTTATCTTTGTGAGCAAGTTTTCTCTGTAATGAGTATAAATAAAACAAAGCTGCGCCCAAGGCTCACACAAGAACTCGAATCACATCCTGAAGTTGGCCGCCACTCAGGATGTGACTTCTGATGTTGATGTGCTGGTGAAAGCTAAAAGATGTAAAGTAAAATGAGTCAAATATACTTTAAGTGCTGCATGAAACTGATCTAGCCATGTGATCTGTAAACTCTTTGAATCACTAAGGAATGTTTATTTATTTATTTTTTTATTTTTCCAAATTTTCAAGTACACTTCAGGTGTTGTACTTGTACCACACTGTCCTCAGGCTCCAGCTTTGTTTTATATTGATTGTATTAAAACAAAGAAAACAATCTGAAGTTGTTTTTAATTTACCGGTCCGGCCCACTTGGGACTAGATTTCCCTCAATGTGGCCCCTGAGATAAAATGAGTTTGACACCCCTGGTCTAACCTAGCAGATACCGGGAGAGGCAACCAAAGGAGCGGTTCAAGGCAGCAAAGGTTACTTTTGAACAGTCAAATGACTGGGTTGTTCCAGTTTTGAGAATTACAGATTCTGAGCATCCAAAGCTGGATTTTGTTTCAACTGTGAAATATCCTCCGAGCTGTGATATTAATTAATTTATTTATTTATTTATTTATTTATTTGTTTATTTAACTTATGTTTTTCAGGAGGATAAACTGCTTGATATGTATGATAAAATCATCTTTCACCATAACCTCAGTTGGCAGTTATTAAGTTTTCTATTTTCTGTATTCTTCTTGTATGTGCATGTTTTATAACTGGATTTAACTGTTTGTGTTCTTAATGTTATATATTGATCTGCTCCATTGGAATATTATTCTGCAAGTGCACATTTATGTCCCATTTATACTTGCATTTAAATGAATAATAAAACTTCAACAGAAAGAATTAATTTCTTTTAATGTTTAGCTTTGGATTTTTTTAATGGTAAAGCACTTAAGAAACAGCAACCTGATGGTTTTAAAAGTTGTGCTATGTTCTGTGGTTTCAGAGGCAGCGTTCGTGTGTCTTTTCTAGGATTTATAAATTATAGCAGTCTGACCGCGACCTCTGGTGGTTAATCAGCTCAATTACAGTTTTTGAAGTCCCCCCCCCCCCCCCATCTACGACAATCCACGTGAATAAGCGCTTACTCTTCGGGTAATTAAAAGAGGGCAAACAGCTGTTATGCGTTTTATTCAAACGATATAGTAAAACAAGCAGGTTTCTTGATAATGGACCAGACAGATCGTGTGTGTACTGTTTAAGACTGCTGAGAGGTTGGTCAGCGGGACTAAAACCAACGAATACCATAAACATTCAGTGTAACACAACGAGTTAGGTGTTATTGTTTATCAAGAGTGCAGTGCTAGAGCCACAGTGTTTTCATAGCGTTACTGAGTTAAACACATTTATCCTCAACGTTTTAGTCGGCGCTTCCGCTTGGTCCGCCCACTTCTCCCATAATGCAGCTGGATTCTTTGATTGGCACCGTAAGTTAGTATGCTGCCCAATCATTGAGCTCTGAATACGGCTCAGAAATTAGGCAGTCGTCGTGCTAGCTTGCTAACACATATGCTAAATTTGGAACGATACAGAGAAGGTTAGCATGGACCCCTGCGCAAGGATGACACGCAAAATCGTGAAGCGTTCCTCATTTTTTAAAATAACATAACCCTAACTCTAAAGTCACTAGTATGAAGCAGTTAGGGGCGTGTCCCCCTGTTCAGTTCCAACATTTGACCAATCAAATGACTGGGTTCCCATTTTGAGAAGCACTGGTTTTCAGCAGCTAATCAGAGAGCTGGATGGTTTCAACTCTGAAATAGACCCTCTTTCACTCCAAGCTGGCATTCCTCCGCTACTGAACCAGTGGCGTGTCCAGATCTTTTAAAATGGGGTGGCCCAGGTGAGGCACAACTTTGTGCATGGGTGGCACCATTGGTTATGCTTTTTTTTTTTTTTACCCCCAAGCCTTTTGTGGGCAGTAAAAAATCCTATTTAAAGGTAAATTAGTGTGTTGGCACTAGAGCTGAGGAAAATAATCAAATAATCGATGCATCGGGATGCGGACATAAACGATTCTGCATCGTAGAAGAGTACGCCATAATCGATTATAGTGGAATGTAGTTTTGTTTTTTTAACGGCGGCATCAGCGCCGCATCCAATTCTGTCAGAGTGAGCGTCCTCCACATTTACCTCCGCCTTAATGTGGTACTGCAGGGCTGAGCGCTTGAGTTGTCACCTGAGACCGAACCGGAACCGAATCAGCCCGACCGGTTCTGTTGGATTTGGGCCGTGAATTATGTTAATTGAGCGGGTTGTCATGCGGCGCGCTCCGCTCGCTCGATCAGCGACCGAGAGAGAGAGAGAGACACTGTCTGCTCACACAAGAGAGACGATCGGAGGACGCTCCTCCAAACCGATGCTCCAAACACGCGTTATTATTTTCATAATTTAGTTATTATTTCTCCTGGAAGCGCTCAGTCAGACGACTGCTTGTTGTAATGTAGGGAGATCCGGTCTTGGGGAGGGGGCGGGGTCAGTGACGGCGGCTGCAGCGTGATCGTCTTTTATTTAGGGACACGGAGAAGTTAAAATGAGAGAGAGAAATGGAAGATAGAAGTTCTTGTTCCACTTTATTGTTTGGTTTCATGATGATAAACTGATGTTAAATTCAGCTTAAAGAGAAACTGGGAGGAAGCTTTGGTTCATTTTAGGTTACAGGAGGTCTTATTTCCTATCTGCTCCTCCAGAGACAGCATGGACATGAGGGTCACATGGTGAGGGTCACACAGGACAGGTTAGTGAAGGTTTGTAGTTATCTGGTTAGTGAAGGAGATCCATCAGCTGGGTAATTTAATCCTAATCCAGTCCACAGCCTTCTGCTGGTGTTATTATCAGGAAGAATAAAACACACATCTTAAATATTATTGGAAGTGTAGAATTTGTTTTGTGTTTTATTATTTTCTGCATCAAACAGAACTTGATTAATTCTCCAACATTTCAGAAATGAACCACTGGGTTCAAATAAAATAAACTAAGTCAAACATTTAATTTGGTGTTATTTCTGACACCCTTCAACTGTGGCATAAATATTGGACTCTAGAGCTGCTCAGAGACATTAAACACTCACATATGAACCCATTATGGATTTTATTATTAATTACGTGTCCTGTAGGTTTTCAGTACTTTTTTAGATTTTGTGAGTTTTTGCAAAGCGTGTTTTTCTCAGCCTGAGGCGTGGTGTTGAACGAGGAAACAGATGTTTTACTTTGTTAAATCTTCTTAAATGTTTAAAATGTTTTGTCCTAACCTGTTGTGAATGGAGAGCCTTTGAGGGATGGCAGATTGTGTCAATTACGTTTTAGATTTTAAAAAAAGCAATTATCTGACATCTTCTATTTATCGATGAAAATAAATCAATATGATATAATCGTGATGCATCGTGATGCATCGGGATATCAAATCGAATTGAATCGTTGACCCAATAATCGTAATCGAATCGAATCGGGAGACAAGTGAAGATTCACACCTCTAGTTGGCACCTGGGGTCGCCAATCAGATTCCAAGGGTGGCATGTACTACCCCAGGCCACTCCCTGGACACGCCCCTGTACTGAACTGACTGAGACGTACAATTGTTACTTAAAAAAAACAATTAGACTTTTAGCATGTTAAAAAAACTGTTTGTTGTCTTACGGGTGATGTTTAAGACATGGTAGTATTTTCTTCTGAACTAACGAGGAGGAGAGTAGTGTGAAATGATCTTTCACCACGTCCCCAGTTGGCACAAAGTTCTCTATTTTCTGTATTCTGCGTGTAAAAGCATGTTTTTAACTGGTATTTCCCTGTTTATGTTCTTTGTTTAATGTTATATCATACTGATCTGCTCATTGGGAAAATTATTCCACAATTGTACATCTGATGCCTGTACACTGCTCTCACCATTCCTTTTCACTCTGTAGACTTCCAGAACAAGTCGGAGACCTGTCATCTGCAAAAAGACTCAGACGGCTCTGCAGTCGTCGGGTTTTTGAGAGATGGTCAAGAGTACAGAGAGCTGGTGGACCACTTTGTGGCGTGGTGTGAGGACACTCACATAATCTTGAATGTGAACAAAACAAATGAGATGGTTTAGAAAGAAACGGGAATAGCTCAACATGCATTATTGGGGAGTTGGGGGAGGTGGTGGAAGACTACAAATAGCTTGGTGTTCATCTGGACAACAGACTGGACTGGAGACACAAGCGTGAAGCCATCTACAAGAAGGGACAGAGTGTCTTGAATAATATTTTAGATCCTTCAAGGTCTGCAGCAAGAGGCTGCAGATCTTTTACAGGTCTGTTGAGATCTCTTGGGCAACCAGCTGCTGGGGCCATGGACGTAATTTTGGGGGGGACAGGGGGGACATGTCCCCCCCACTTTTTCCAAAGTCAAGTTTTGACCCCTGCACTTTTTACCATCCAAAAACAATATTACGCTATATTAAATTGACACTGGTTGAGCTCTAGGACCAAGCGGAAAACAACCATTTGTGTTGAAGCCTGTTTCCCATTAGAACACACTGTAAAGATATACCCACCCCCCCACCCCCACCCCCCACTTCTAAAGTGAAAATTACGTCCATGGCTGGGGCAGCAGCATCAGAGCCTGCAGGGGCCTAAAAAGGCTCAACAACCTGTCAAAAAAGGCTGGTTCTGTTCTGGAGACAACTGAGAACCACTGGAGATGATGGTGCAAAGAAGGATTTTTCATAAAATCAATAACATTTTAGACAACACTGAGCATCCGCTTCATGCAACAAGCATCTTCTTCAGAGCTGCTGTGACACAGGAGATCCTTCCTGCCCACAGCCTTCAGCATCTTTAACCACTCAGATTTCCAACTGAGCTTATTATTATTACTAGTATTTATTTTAATGACTGCTTTGAAGAATTAGTTAAGACAACACTTAACTTCCTTCTGGGATTAATGAAGTCATTTTGGACTTTAGACAGAGAACCTTAGTTCTGTGGAGTCGATGAAGAAACCCAATAATGAACCGGTGACACTGCTGAACTCAAACATATTTGTGATGTTCTCTAACGTGTATTAAATGGGGCTTGTATAAAATCCATTCCACTGCCTGCTGCTCAGCAACAGAGTTTCTCCTCACACGTGTGACAAGAGGTTTTCACTCCACGTTTGCTGGCTGTTTACCTGTGAACCACACCTGGTTTGTTGTTGGGATTTTTGTCCTGTCACACTAGTTCTAACCTTCTTCGTCTTCAGTGGTTTATTAATTTCCTCACCCAAGCTTCTGCTTCCCTGTAAACTCCTCCAAAGATGTGCTTTCTACGCCTGAATAGGACGGGAGATTGGATGCATTGAGGAGCTGAGGGACCAAGCTCTTTTCTTCAGTTAATAAATGATCCAACAAGAATACCAACAATCTAAATGTGTTAAACAACAACCTGCTGTACACATGGACATGTAAAGAAAGGAACTTCACAATAAAAGCTCATTGCAAGAATTTAAACACTTTTATTTGAAGTCATGAGCTCCAAAGATAATTAAGAGAATGTCTATGCCTAGGTCGATTTCATTCATAGAGGAAGGTAGCGGAGGTTACTGCTGCAGCTGCTGCTAGCGTGCAGGCTCCACCATCAAAGACAGCCCGCCTGCAGTACACCTGCAGCAGATGTGGTCAGCCCAAGCGGCTGGACACTGGCCACACATTGCAGGCGTGTCCTACTGGGCATCTGTTGGCGGAAAGTCTGTAGAGGAGTGGAGGGAGGAGATGAAGAATAACATTAGAGGGAGATTGGATGTGTTGAGGAGCTGAGGGAGCAAGACAGAAAAACTGTCTTCACTTTTTTGGATTTTTCTTTTTAAAGACTTTTTGAGACTTTTTCTTTTATTATATATATAGATATATATATAAACGAAAACACTTTAAATCTTTGAATGTTTTTATGATCCTGGACACAGATACATTTATTACATGTGTTTTATAACATCACAAATATATTTCAACACAGATGCATTTTTTCATATATATTCTATAATTTTACGTGTCTATTATCACAAATATATTTCACAGCTCAGTGGTTCTTCATCACAATTATAATTAAATTTAAAGTGGTAATAGTGAAAAATTATTTACATAATAATTAGTTTTATCAGATTTCGCATACATTAATACTTTTAAATTCGCACTGAGCGGGAATCGAACCTACGCACTTCGACTCCCGGACAAAACAGTTAAAAAAAACGAGAAGATCCGTTGTTTGTCAAAGCTTTTTTTTTTGTTTGTTTGTTTTTGGCTCCTGGTTTTTTATTTAGTTTTTTGTTTAAAAGCAATCGGTTTTGCTTCACCATCTTATTAATGTAAACCTTTGTTAAATTTAGTACGTTTCCTTACTCGTGTTGTACATGCTATATCTTTCAATAAAGTAAAAATAAATAAATAAATAAATAAATAAATAAATAAATAAATAAGTAAATAAATAAACCTGCAGCGAGGTTTCCTCTGAAATAGAGAGCCCTTTCAGCCAATCAGACGCGAGAAAGGGAGAAAGGTGGGACCTTCCTGGACATCCTACGTTTCCAAATGACGCGCGTGGGAGGAGGCTGTGGTTGCGAGTCTGCGCCTGCCCCTGCCTGCCACTGAGAGGCGTCGCGAGCTCTGCTGGAAACTATACGGTGCTCAATTTTTCAAGATGTCGTCGTTGGAACAGAGGCTGTCGCGAATCGAAGAGAGACTAAAGCAGGAAAATGAAGAAGCTCGCCGGAGAATCGACCTTAACATCGACATGAGCCCGCAGCGATCACGTCCAAGGCCAAGTGAGTGTCCATCGGGGCGGACCGGTGTGTTGGTAACGGCTAGATTAGCAGGAAAGGTCTGAGAAGGGGTGGGCTACCAGATGCATGCTAACTGGCTAGCTACGTAAACAAACATCGGCTGACCTCGGTTATACTACCAAAAATCCAACTTAATAAGTGGAACAGCTCATGTGGGGAGAAATGTTGAGCAGAGTTCAAACCCGGATGCAATGTTATACTAGTTGTCGGTGACTATGTCATTTCGAAATATGTTCATTTCAGTCCTGTCAAACATGCTAAGCTAACAAGTTGTACGTTTTGTGATAGTTTGTAGCAGGCCTGGCGTCCGTTAGAAAAATGACTGTTTTATTCATTTGTGATATAAATTTACGGTCGTTTCAATAATGTAATTTTAAAGGAATGTTTGTTCTAAATGTGAGTGGTGTGTTTGGATGTGACTTTTGGGCATAATAAGTCAGGTCACTTATGCTATTTTTAATGTCTCGCGCTTAAGGGTAATTTAAACTGGTTACTTTTATCCTTAACCAACACTGGTTGTGGTTGGAGCGGATGTTAAAGCAACAATCAAACAGAAATTCTGAACAGGTTGTCTGTTTTTTAGAAATTTGTGAGTTTGGTCAAACGTTTTAATAGTTATGTTGCTCTTTTTGAGGTTGTCTTGTAATTAACCTGTTATGATTAAATGTTAGGTCTTTCTCGTAGCTTTACTGCATCTGTTTGGTTAAGATTTGTTAGTGTAAATGTGTCAGAAAGGCATACGAACTTGACTTGACAGGAGATGCTGTAATTATGGGCCATAGAGGGAAAATCTCTACAGAAATGCTACGCTTGCTACAGCTTCGTGACATGTAACAACGAGACCCTCATTGCTGTAGTAAATAACAAAAAGCTCCATATTGACTGCTGTAAGTTTGCTATTGAGTGATAGCTTAAAAATCTTTCATTATTACTGAATAGCATTGTTTTGAGCCATTATACCTACCTTTTCTAATAGTTTTCTTTTGTTGAGAGAACAGTGGTCGTTTGATCCAGCTAACAAGTGCTGATGAAGGTCATTTGACTGTCACAGATGCTTCAAAAATTTACAGATGAGAAATGCATCAGGTCCAAATAACTCAGATTTGTTGGAGCCATGATACTGCTCACAATTATGCAGAATAATCATTTAAATGAGATAAAGATTGACCTTTGTTTAATCATAATATTTCCATAAGACACAACAGAGTTCATTATTTTGCCCAAGGACACTTTGTCTTGTGGAGAAACTGTAATTAAACTACCAGCTCTCAGATTGGAAGTTGACCGCTCTACCAGCCGAGCCGCAGCTGTCTCAGACAGGGCAGTAACATGTTTCACATCCTGAGACCTCTGACTTTAAAAAAATCTCCTCTTGGTTTACCAGCTGGTGTTGAGCAAATAAGCTTGTAACTGAATATTTGGTGTGGAGAACTAAAAGGTCAGACATCAAATGCAACTTGACTTCATCGAGCTCTAAAAGTGAGAATATTTAAATCTTTTTTTTAATCTTTTTTATACTTTGTTTGGTTTTTTATTTATTGTTTTGTTTGTTTGTGAAGCGCCTCACGATTTTTATCTCAAGATGCTGTTTTTAAAAGAATGTTTTTTCTTTCTTAACATTTTTATAGCAGGGATCAAAATGGATGTAATAAGGAGCCTAATGGGCCATTCCCATCTGTACCGGGTAGCCCCAGTCGGCCCCAGCCTGGCCCGGTTGATTCCACACATCCTTGCCTTAAGCCCATGTGGGCTGATTCTACCCACCAATCAGAGGCTTGCTCTAATGGAAGGTGTGAATTTGCTGTCAGCAGTGGGTGTGTTGGCCCTGGTCGGCCTGAATCAGACCCCTCGAGAAGAGGGCTGAGAATGAGCCTTGGTTGGCCCGGGAAAATACCAGGCCACCCAGATATGTAAACAACCTACGCTGCCTGGGCCGACCCGGTACAGATGGGAATGGCCCATAAGTCTCCTCCTTTTCCGGTTAGCTCATGGGTCCCTTGAAGAATGAAAAAATGAATGCAAATGAACAGAGGTAAAAGAACTATTTTCTAATCCGCTTTGCCTTACGCCCTGGATCACACACATGTTGTACTTCAATTTAAATGAACACTATAGGTGTTTCAACCAGCTTGTAAAAGTTTGTGATTATTATGATTACAAAAAATATGTTGGCACGTCACATAGATGACATCATCACAGGATCTCCTCTGCCCCAGCATAGCCGTTACTTACCCCATGGTCAGATTTCTGGTGAATTTCTTTCCTCCTGAAAGAAAGATTTGAAGTTCACTGAACTATCGGGCTGTCACAAACAACTCTTTTATAGTCGACTGATCGTGTCATGCATTAAAGTTTAGGTTTTTGCACCAGGATGCTCTTAATATACCCATTGTTAGCTTCTAGTTTGAAGTGTGATCAGCTGTGTGGCATCTAATGATAAAGACAAGATGATAACTTATCAAACAACTTTTAATTAACTTTGTAACCTATTAATACAAATGCTATAGTCAAATGGAGGTAGGCACCTAAAACCAAAAATAAATTGTACTCAAAAATGACTTGTGTTCACAAAAGGCATAGTGACAAGGGTGAAGCGCTTCGTCTTCTAATCTTAACTCAGGAAATGGCAGGACACACCAAGGTATGCCTCTGTAGCACGGCTGGTCCGCGTCAGCAGTCAGGGGACCATCGTCAGCTCTGAGGGTCTGCTTTACCGTAAAGATTAAAGTTAGTTTATTTACCAGATTAATAATTCTGTTATGTCAGAGGTGAACTCACCGATGCAATTCTTTGTTCATGCGCCTCGAAGCTGAAGGCGGCATCTGACCTGGATGGCGACCATTATGCATGTGCGTTGAGCAGAGAGGCAGGAAGCAACTGCCGAACGTGCTGCAGCAGGCGATATTTAAAAAAGTATTTATAGAATAAACGACACATCAACTATTAAATTAATAGTCAACTAATTTGTTTGTCGATGTCGTGACGAGTCGACTAATCGTGGCAGCCCTACTTTTGAGCTTTGTTGCGTGAGCATCATGGTGTCTTTTTTTTCTCCGGTGGTTCTGATTCAAAGGCTGATCTGGATGGCGAATACTGCGCATGAGCCTCAAGCAGAAAAGCAGAAGGTGCTGCAGCAGGCAAAATTTTTAAGCTCATATAATAAATAATGTGTCGACTATGAAATTTATTGTGGACTTTTTTGTTTGTCAGCATTATTGTGACGCGTCGACTAATCGTGGCAGCACTGGTCTTCAGCAGGAAGCATAAAAAACTTCTTGCTAGTCGGCTGCGTGGACCTCAGAAAACACAGTGGGCCAACACCAGCAGATGACATGGCACCCCAAACCATCACTGACTGTTTCATTGTGGAGGATTTGCGCACGTTCCGCTGCTGTTTCTCACCAGCATCAGCTGATGGAGGGCTCTAGTTTCGTTGCGCCGTTCGTGTCAGCGGACATGGGAGGGGGGTGGGGCATGACGCTTAGTCTGGCGGGCCGCCAGGCTTATAAAGCGCTGGGGGAAACCATCTAAAGGCATTTGCAGGCGTTTTGATTAATTAGCTGATTACCCCGGGTTTCCACGGGAGCCGTCAGCAGCACGTTACTGCAGCAGCACGTCTTGCTCGCGTAAGCTGCTGCTTGGCCCTTCCCACGAGACGCAAAGCAGCAGGGGAGCAGCTGTCACCGACTGAGCACGAAGTCACACGAGTGACTTAGTCAGTAAACACAACAACAAGCAGGAGAAAACTACAACATGGTTTGTGTTTTATGTTCTGTCCGTTTTATAATCGCCAATACGGACCTGAAAAACAAAGGAGACCGCTAGCTAGGTGATAACTTCTCACGGGGCCGCACAGTTAGTAACTTTTTTTAAAAGTAAAGCAACTGGAAGGCAGTACGTTCTTTATTCTGAAAATCTCGGGAGCTTCTCCCCATTTCCGCGTTCGATTTCCTGTCTTTCCTTCCCCAAAAATGTCGAACTTGACCCGTTTCAGAGGCGTCGCGCGTAGAAAATAGAACCGGCGCGTAAGGGCCGCGACATGCTGCTCCTGAGACGCGGCCGACTCGCGCTGCTGACGGCTGCTGACGGCTCCAGTGGAAAAGGTTCTGTTGACCACAGCGGTTCCTATCGGCAGCTATGACGTGCTGCTGACGGCTCCTGTGGAAAGCAGGGGTTAGAGTGTGGCACCAGGGATCTTCAGCATTGAAACTTTTCATAATTTTCTAATATACTGAGATACAGAATTTCGGACTTTCATTAGTTGTCAGTTATCAAAGTTAAAGAACTAAACATATGAAATATATCAGTCTGTGTGCAATGAATTAATCTCATACCGGTTTCACTTTTTGAATGGAACTACTAAAAATCAACTTTGTCATGGTTTTCTACTTTTATGACCAGCATCCGTCTGAACACAAGGAGGTAAAGGGATGACTTTTCAGCTACGTGTTGTGAATGACTCATCTACTACCCTGTTGAATTAGAAGACTGACTGATGTGTAGTAATTGTTGTGTTAGCTAATGTCAGTCTGCTATAGCGGCCATCTTAAATGAGGTTCACTCCAAAGTAGGGCTGCTCAATTAATCGAATTTTAATCACGATTACGATCTGAGTTTTGAACGATTATAAAAAACATAACAAGCCGATTATTTGCTCCTCCCGCTTGCGCTGCCCTGAGTTGCAAATGAAGCGCTCCTCCACAGTGTTGCTAATTTAGCGACTTTGACGCTATTTCTAGCAGCTTTTCAGACCCTCTTCTTGACTTTTTAATCCTAAAAGTACCTAGCGAACACCTGAGAAACATCTCTGGTGACCCTTAGCTACTTTCTGGATAACTGTCGTCGACATTTCCTGCAGGTTAGCTAAACACTCCGCCTGTGCTCCGGACCGTTCTTCACAACATTAGGAAAGGGAATGATGTAGTGATGTGTCGGTCGCTAAAGACAGCTCTCGGAGCCGGCTCCCTGTTGGATTAACCAGAGTGAGTGACACACACACCGCACCTTCGGACTCCTGAGCAGCTAAAAACAGCTAAATGTGCGCGTGCAGCGTGCTAAACACACGTGCAGCTTGCCCCGATTGCTGTGAGACCGGGTTGGTGGGGGGGGGGGTGCAGCTGTGGTCGGGACAATTATTACATTAACTGATGGGCCTGTAAATAAATAGTTTATAAATAAGGTAGAAATAAGTTCCTCACGCTGATAACTAATCTCTCTGAGGACACAGTCCTACAGCACCTTGACACGACTCAATAAATGTTATGCAACATTTTGTGAACATCAATTTATTTGCATTTATTTGTTATAAATGCCACTGTATAATTCTTGCTGTCAGTATTTGCAAGATATTGGTATTTGGTTCTGTACTGGTTAGACTCAAGGTCTATAGCCCTTGGCTCATAGACTATGAGCTATAAGTATATTGGTCTTTTTATACTGGGAATCAGGAGTTCTTTTAGTGATCATCTTGTTTCTTATTTTTGTCCTGATTGTGCCCTGAGCAATTTTATGACTGAATAAAAACAAATAAAATCAACATAAATTGAAAAATCGTCCTAAATAATCGTGATCTCAATTTCAGTCACCATAATCGTGATTATTATTTTTGCCATAATCGAGCAGCCCTACTCCAAAGTCAAGTTATAGATGTACATCCAATGAGTTTTTTTTAAATCATCCAGTGTTTTATAAGATATTTAACTGAAACTACCCAGTACAAATGTCTCCACTTTGATTGTGCTCACTTTATTAGGAGTAGTGTGTGTTTGTGTTTTATGATCGTCTACCAATGCTCTACCGAAGTGAGCACATGTTCAGTGTGAGTTGCTTTGTTGATCATTTTGTGGAATAGCTTGTTCTTACATGTAATAGTTTATGATGACAGGAACTTCGGACGGCCTTTAGAGCTGCGGTGAAGCAGCTTTATCTTTAGGTTTAACGGGTTTCAGTATCTATAAGAAAAAGAACATTTCCACCTGTTTTTGATTAGAAAATTTTTTTGTTTTTGTGTTTGTTTGTGCATGAAAAACAGAAAACATTGTTGATAGTAGAAAGTTTTATTGCTATTTTCTGTCATTTGCCAGAATGTGTGTGTGGACGTGTGCGTGTTTGAGTAGAACCGTGCAGTAATATGTATGTGTGTGTATGTGTGTGTGTGTGTGTGTGTATTTTCTTTCTTCCGTCTAGTCATCGTGATCCAGCTCAGTCCTGCTCCAGCCCCTTCCCAGCGTGCAGGTATCATTCAATCCATCGCTCCTTCTGCCACTGCACCTCCCCAACTCCTGAAACATACACCTCCTCACCTCTTCTCTTCCATACTGTCATCTCTTTATTTTCCCTCCAGTTCTGCTCATGGCTTAGATGGACTCTTACTTTGTCTTGAGTTGAGGTTTTCTCTGACAATGCAAATAGACCCCAACACAACTCTTATGCATATTGTTTTTAAACATGCAGTTAGCTGCACATTTTTACAATTTACAGCCTTTAAACATCAGATTAGAAATATCTTGTTTGAGCTAATAATAGTGTTCTATCCCAGTGTGTCCCTGATAAGTTTGAGAACATTTCAGTAAAACAAGCGTATCTTTTTTTTTTCCTGTTCGGCTGTAAAGCACTCAGAAATGATTTCTGAGTGCCGAAAATGGGGGTGGGTAGAAGAATCTGCTTCTAGACTAGGGATGCAACGATACCACTTTTTTTCCAAACCGATACGATACCGATACTTGGATCTGAGTACTCGCCGATACGGATTACTACCGATACTTCTACCATACAAAAAAAGGCAATGATTTGGAATACAGATTTTATTTTCTTCTCTGCTTTCAACAGGAAAAGACTGTGAGGTAGATAAAAAGTAAAATATATGAATGGAAATCATAACAAAACTAAAATATTAGGTGAACAGAAATGACAAGTTACAGTGAAGCCATTTTTAAGCAACTGCATTGGTATCGGTTCCTGGTATCGGCTAACTTTTACCGATACTGGCATTGGTATCATATCGTGCCGATACCAGTATCGGAATCGGTGCATCCCTATTCTAGACCAGAGAGAGGGGAAGAAAGGGGGCACACAAAATACAACAGCACCAAAATACCACTGTGCCAACAACATGAGGATGTATAACAGTAGCACTTTTTGTTGAAAAGCACAATGTAATAATTTATAGTGCATTTAGTGCCAACCACAGCCTTAGGATATGTAACAAAAACAATTCCATACTTGTGTGAGCACCTGTTTGCATACATACACTTGTGTTTGTAAGGTTTCTCTACAGGAGTGTGGAATAGTGAGTTATAGGGGGCACAGACTTGCCCCTAAAGACCCACGGAAGACAAAGGAGACCCAAGCCCAAGTGGTCTCCCCTGAAACGTGGAGAACCAGGGAGACTGCTGCCAGAGCAGCTTCACTAACCATAGCGCTGATTTTTTTTTGCTTTTCGGGTTGTTGAGACAGTATTTTTTGGTATGCGTTCTGTTTATTAGTGGGAGTGTACACAGAGCCCGCCATGTACAACAGCTAGTAGACTTGTCTTTATGTGATCATCACAGGAATAATGTACAGTCAAACAAATCTGGAACAAGTGGATCTTAGGTGGTCCCATGAAAGGGCAACTAGCACAATAACAGGGGGAAACACTTTGTGATGAGTTAGTAAAAGTATGGTTTTAAAGTCATTGCATTTCTAGATATTACAGTTTTTCTCGATTGCTTAAACATTTCTTTAAACTATGCTTCGTATTCTCAAAACGGTAAACACAAATCCACAACACAAGTTCTGTTGCTTGTGGTTGTTCCCCACTTAAACCTTCACATGATGAACACAGAAGATTCAACCAGTGTAAATACAGTGGCACATTTTTATTCATATACCCTACAGTACATCACTTTGGTCTGGATCAGGCCAAAAAATCTCATCCACATCACAGGATGTATTGGCCCTAGCCTGGAGGGGTTGTGATGATGGAGGTAACGGTTGCTTTTATAAGACACACCATGCCGGCAAATCGCCGTAATATTACCGCAATGGTATGTCTATAAACGCGCCATGCCAGCATGGCATTGCGTGAATTTTGCGGCATTCGTTCCGCCTCACTTGGTAGTAATATTGCTGTAATGGTCTGTCGTATGCACCCTGGCGCAACAAGCAGATGTCATGATGACGTGGGGAGTTATTACTGAGCTCCGGCTGGCAAATTTATTGAAAATGAAAGTACACACAGGCAATAAGGTTTGCTTTTTGAACTAAATCAGCTGAGATGGCAAACTGGAGCGCCGCAGCGCTCCATGAGCCTCTCTGTTAGAGCTGAAGCTCAGATCACCAGAGACTGCACAGGGACTGATGGGGACACCTTTAGGAGCTGCTTGTTAAAAAAAACGTAACGATCACGGCTTCAATCGCAATAAAATGCAAGTTATGTCCAAGATAGACGGAAGTCTGCGGCAGCGCAGAGACCGCCCCCATACCCCTTTTATGCCGCCATCACCTAATCTTTTATAAAATTGCCACGATTGTGCCACATTGCTGCTACGGTCTGATCTTATAAACAACCTATAGCTAGTGAAGCGACTCACATTTGGCTAGGCTCGTGGCCCCGCCTCCCTCATAGTCATACCATAGTCAAGGAACAGGGTCAACTAAAGCGGATCAAATTTCATCTGCGAACACTTGTCTCCTTGCCCAGGCTCTTCCCCTCCTCCTCCCTGGTGTCCTAGACCTCATTCTCCTCCTCTTGCACCTCCTCTTTCACTTGCACTGCCTCCACCCTTGTGTCCTAGACCTCCTTTTCCTCCTCCACCCTTGTGTCCTAGACCTCCTCCTCCTCCTCTTGCACCTCCTCCACCCTGGTGTCCTAGATCTCCCTCACTTCCTCCACCTCCTCCACCCTGGTGTCCTAGACCTCCTCCTCTTCCACCTCTTCTTGCATCTCCTCCTCCCTGGTTTCCTAGACCTCCCTCTATTCCTCCACCTCCTCCGCTGTGGTGTCCTAGACCTCCTCCACCTCTTCCTTTGCATCTCTTTGGATCTATTGTTTCAAACCTGAATGAGCTGGATTAAAGCTTGGTTTATGCTTGACGCATTCACTTTCCGCGCGGTGATGCGGCTCGCGGCTGGAACGCGCTTCACAACTCGCAGTGTTTATGGTTCATGCGGCTCGTCTCTGCGGTGAGCCAATATTCTCCCAAACTGTAGGGGGCAGCATGGAGCTCTACGGCATGCATTCAACTCTACACCATAGCAGAAGCAGAAAGTACTGTTTACAACGTGGCATTCCAGCAGTTTTTAACAGCGTCCTCGTCTTTTCCGACAGTGCGAGCTATTTCTCTCCAAGAATTATTAACAACATGTTGATCACGGTGATCTCTGAGAGCTGAATCATACAAATGTCTGTATTTACGAACCTCTGCCATACTAGTTCTAGCCGGTCCGCCATGTTTTTCCGCGTCCGACTGTCCGCGTGGTTAGAAATTTTCCTAGGTGCGCGTTGTGGAAATTTTGGGCCGTGCGGAGGATGGGAGTGGTTGTTAAAATGACGCAATTTCGCCGTGCGGAGCCGTGCGAAACTCGCGGACGCGTCAAGCATAAACCAACCTTTAGCCCTTTAATCTACCCATCAGAGTTTCTGATTGGTGTGTGTTAATTGGTTAATTGTGTGCTGATTGAGCTCAAGCTGTGCTGACTTCAGTTAGCATTATTGACTGCTAGTGCTTTCTAAATGACTGCATAGTGTCAGCACTGAAAATGTAGGGATTTGTGTGTCGAGTTTTGCAGTAACAGTTCACCAAATCTGACTCATGTTAAAGCAGGGAATAGTGTGTATGCTTCAGGGGAATGGGTGTGCTTTTAGAAAAATGGCATTATGGTTTTGGAATTTGAGTTCAAAAGGTTGGTTGTAGTGTTTAAGCAATCGAGAACACCTGTCATATATAGATTTAACCAAAACAGATTTCCTATAAACATAAGTACCTAGATAGGGTTTTTCTTTCCAACCTTCAGTACTTTTGTCTCCCAACAGTTTTACTCGGGTACAAACCAAGTTTCTGACAGCAGGCCCTGACTGGTGTCGACATTTCAGCCCAGGAGTTATTTTCTCCTCCTGTAAACTCGCCACATCTCTTCCATCTTTCCCCCTCTCCTCCTCCATGTGTCCTTGTGTGTCTGTGCCAGTGGCAGGGCAGTGTGTGTGTGTGCGTGTGCGTGCAGGACTATTAACCTTTGTTTTGCTGGAGGCAGAGAATCACGGTGCATGTGGCTTTTTCTGCACGGCGATATGGACTGGGTTGTCTTATTTATTTATTTATTTATTTATTACATCGTCTCTAATCCAGCATCCCCACTGGTCCATCTGCAGGAGTGCTGTGGACACTCTGGCCTTTATTCCTATCACTTTCCTCATGTGCAGACTGAAGACTTGCCTTCCTGTCAGACTGTCTGACTTCCAGTTTAGTCTGTGCTGTGCAGTTTTGGCTGAATTGTTTTCTCACACACGTGTTAAACTGCGATGTTGTCTGGTTTGTCTCATCCCTGCACTCTCCTTTTCCTCCTGCAAAGGCACTATGCGCGAGAGGAGGTGGGGCAGCAGTGCCTGCTTGTATCTGTGTTTTCACTTTCTTGTGCTATGTCGTCCTGCCCTCCGCCTGGAGCCGGTTGAACCTTGGAGACGCAAACCGCCTGAGTCTTCCTCTCCACACTAACCCCTCCTCCGTTTCACTAAGTGATTCTGTTCTTACAGGCTCATCCATCCAGGTGACTCGTGGAAGCAAACACCCTCTGGAGGCGCTGCCAGCCCACTTCTGTCAAACCGAACCATTTTAATGAGATAGTGGCACACTCTGCTCAAAGTTTAAAGGCATTTTAAATGCTGATTGTGTAATCGTGCTAACACTAAACTGACTGACTGGTAGTGTGGTGCTACCACTCACTGTAGCAGCTGACCTGTGTGAGTTTTTAACAGCAGGCCACCACTCCCACAGCTAAACGTACCAAACACGTTGTTTATTACACTATGACTGTCTTTGAAAACCAAGTGTGCACAAACCCAAGCCCTGTGCGCTCTCTCTGCATGAGAACAGTGTTGCTTTTGCTCCGAGATAACGGCCCTGTTTGTTTTCATTTTGGGTCGGGACAAAAACAAAACTTTAACTTTGAGAGGGTGGGGTCGTGGGAGAACTTCCTGACCGGGTCATGGGCAGCTTCCCTGAACTTGATCATGTTGCCTCCCTCATCGGACCCTTTTCATTACCTTTGTGAAGAGAGAACACAGGCACCATGAAACGGAATGCACCAGCATCTTTTTGTTAAGCCGGGCGTACACTGTGCGACTTTTTCACTTTTTTTAGCCGATTTTCCACTCGTGCGAGAATCCACGACATCGGGGCGAGTTTTGCGCCGAGCGGTCGTGTAGTGTACAGGGGGTTACGAGAGGCGATTAACACCACGTGACCAGCTGCCGATCAGCAATCGTGAGCTCGCACGGACTTCTGGCGTGTTTAATATTTTGCTCGTCCCTCGTGAGGGTATCGCACTGTTGAAGCGGCGCTGCGAGCAGCTGCGACCCAAAATGTATCAGAACCGCTCACGGCGCAATCCTGCATCAACACCGCTCGCCCGCTATTTCCCTAATAACACACGTTGTTTGTTTTAATTCCTACACGTTTTTTTACTCACAAAGATTGTCAAGAAAGCGTGTTTGTCGTGTTCATGTCAAATTAAACTGATCACAAAACACAGATTTACTTTCTTTATTTCGTTTTCCTCATCCAACCCCCATAAATCCCTGTGTGTCCTCCTGCAGCACTCCCGAAGGACAACAGGCAAAACAAGACAAAAAAGTCTGACATGTTGTGTAAAAACTGCTATTTTTAGCACATTTTTAGGTCTGACGTGTTGCTACCAGACGTACAGCGTGAGCAGTCAGGTCGCATCCGAGAACTGGGTCGTGCAGTGTGAGCGCCTGGCTCGTGAGATCTGCTCTGCGAGGAAGTCGTACAGTTTGAGCTGAAGCTGAACGCTGCGAGTGAAAAAATCACACAGTGTACGCCCGGCTTTAGACATGCGTCTGACTCACAGCAGGAATGCATGATTACATAAAACACACCATCGTGGTGCTTCTAACTGGTCCTGTCCCACTTCAACCCAGCTCTTCAGCTACCTCTGGCCAACGATGGAGGCAGCCGCTCGTCATCGTCTGAGAGCTCACCTCAGCATCACCCCTGCCGCCCACGACACATGCTCACCTTGCCCACCCCCCCATACGGCCTACAGAAGAGCCTAGAAAAGTATGTCGGTTCTCTATTACAGCTGGATTTTTCATCTAGGAGGCCTTTTAATGTTACAAGCCCCTCAGTTGGGGTAATAACACATGAATAAAATCTGTACGTGCAAAGATGGGCACATTAATTAGAAAGTGTGTGTGAGAATGTTGAGGCGTAGTTGATATAGAGTTTACATGTTGGATGTAGAAAAACAAAGTTCCTCTCTGAAACACGTTTATGTAGCGCTCCCTGATTCTGCTGTTCAGTGTGTTTTACGTTTTCATCCCATAGTGTAGAGATCGACCAGAAACTGCAGGAGATCATGAAGCAGACCGGTTATCTGAAGATCGACGGTCAGGTGAGGTGCTCACGTTAAGCTTTAGTCGCAAAGAAAATGAAGATTTTTTTTTTATTTTTAGTAAAAATTAAAATAAATAAAATATTGAATTTAAACTAGAAAATGTCCAATTGAGTCAGCTCAGGTTTAAAGCAAGCCTCGTTATTATTTTTTTACTATTGAGCTTTGTTTCATTGAACTTTTATACTTAGAATTGTAACAACCCACCCCGCCACGCTGGATCAAACTGAGAAAAAAAAAAAAAACGAAACAAAGACACAGGTTTCTAGACACCAAATCCAAACACAAAGACCAATCTACAAAAAAATAAATAAATAAAATAAACATCACAAAAACATTTTCTAAAGGGTCACCATCAAACTATGACATAAATTAAGACCAAACAACAGAATTTTCTGTTGAACCCTTCTGGGTGTGTGTTTCATTAACCCAGTGGCCGTACACTGGTGGATGAGGGTAGCAGCTTTGTGTTTTGATGAAAGTAAGACTCAGATTAAGACTCGGTTATCTGATTCTCTTCTTTAAATGAATCTGTTTAAATTAGGGCTGCACGATATTAGGAAAACCTGCGATATTCGATAACAGTGCTTAATATTGCGATATCGATATTACTCACGATAAATGAACAAATACTAAAGTATGCAGTGTTGATGTCTGGCGTGTGATGTCTGCGCTGGGTTCAAAGCAAACAAAAACTAATGCGTGAATTCCATTACAACATAACATTTTTATTGCAAAAATATGCAGCTGCACCTGCTACTGTATTAGCAGCTGCACCTGCTACTGTATTAGCAGCTGCACCTGCTACTGTATTAGCAGCTGCACCTGCTACTGTATTAGCAGCTGCACCTGCTACTGTATTAGCAGCAAAACAACAAACTGCATGCATGCAGTTTCTCAGTGACTTTAAAACATCACCTCCACCATAAAACAGTTTCTGATGCTCCAAATACAGAAAAACATCCCTTACCAGGGTTTTTGAATAAATAAAAAAATCAGAAAATAAGTTTAAATGTTAAATAATAGTTAACATCACTTAAATGCAACAGCAAATTCTCTCATTGCTACTGAACATTTTCTCCACTTATGTGGTTATGATATAAGGCTGTTGCTGTAATTGGGAAGTGATCTGTGCTGGGCCAAACTAGGAGAATATTAAGATTTTCTGAGGGAAAGAGAAAAACAATTGTCTACCTTTCAGAAGAGGAACTGGCAAAAAAAAACTACATGGAAAATATGTGAAAATGTTTGTTTTTAACCCCAAATTGAACAAGTTTACCTAGATCTTAAAAAGCAGCTCAGATGATGAAACTGCAACTATGATTCTGGTAACAAGCTAACAAATTGAACTAGCTCCTCTTAAGATAACCGGCTAGCAGAGCTTCTGACTGACAGTTTATGTGCAGCAGCAAATCAACTATCCTGATTAACAAGGTTATAAAAGCTCATAAATGAAAAATCACTTTGATGGGTGGGGGAACTTTTCCAGGCCCTCTTTAGCAGGGTGGGACTGGGAGGAGAGTGCTGTAGCCTTTTAGCTGGAAGCTAACCGGAGCCTGGGGCTAACATCACCACCCGGTGGAACACTAGCGACATGGAGGTAGGTGGGTTGGTTCACCGACACGTGTCGGAGTCAGCCCGGTTATTATCAGCTGCTTAACGACACCGAGCGGACTCACGTTCACGTTTGAAAGCAGCGCTGATTCCAGAAACCTCAGCACAAAGTGCGCTCGTTAATCTGAGCCAGCATGACGAGCAAAGGAAGCGAGCGGCAGCAGAAAGCGGGCTACTCGAGCAGAGATGGTGGAATTTTGGGGTAAGGGTCTACGTAGGGGGCGGGCGTATTACGTGAACGGACCCATCTGATTGGCCGCATTTCAGAAGGGCTACATTTGATTGGTCAAATAATACTTCCGCGTAAAAAACAGCTGGTTTACAAAAAGTTGATGTATGACATGGATGGAAATGTTTGAACCAAACCTTTATCGCCGTTTTTGACGTGCTTTGCGATGGACCTATCGCACGTCCTGTTATCGCGATGACGATCATTTTTCGATATATTGTGCAGCCCTAGTTTAAATGTCCTGTTGATGCTTTAGAAAGAAAAGTTAACAGGTCGTTCTACATTGTTGCTGAGTCATGAGATTGATCCAAGTGTCCTTCAGCACATCCCAGTGGATGACTTCTAATACAGCAAGGTTTTGTTCATGCTGCTACTGTTAGCTGGTATTCTGTAGTGATGGTGGTAGTATTTCAGTAATAATAAGTGTATTTGTGTTTTTTGTGTTTCCGCAGCGTTATCCAGCAGAGGTAACAGACCTCATCAGCGAGGGAGAGATTGGCAGTGGGACTTGTGGACAGGTCTTCAAAGTACGATTCAAGAAGACGGACCACGTCATCGCTGTCAAAGTAAGACCACCCCGCCCCGCCTGTGTTCCTCACATCTAAACCGTAGGGTCCAGCTCTGTCATGGCTGCTAGGCAGGATCTGCTGTTGTTTGAGTTTGTTAATGCAGGAAAACCTTTTAGATGTTTATATTAGGGCTGCAACCAACGATCAATCGGATCGGGTCTCGACTCGATTAATCGGATTCAACGGGAAAATTTTAAAACTTCTAGGGAGTCATTTTTCTTTTCTTCCTTTACTTTATTTAACAACGGAACATAATTAGAAAACAGTTCAGTAACGTGCAAAACAACATGCTATTACCTAAATATATTCAGTAAATTTAATGTATTTCATTAACAAGTTCAGTAGTAAGCTACTGGAAATGCTAATGACACTGCTAACAATGTATTGGTGACATGTCTGTTATGTACGGGTTAACAATAATCCAGTTTAAATTATGTTCACAGATAGAAGCATTTGTGGATTATATGCTACAGTGGCTTGCCTTAATCCTGCAGCGGTGTTGAGCAGAGCCGACTTGAAGCAGCAACCTGACTGCAGCGGTTCTGCTCCATAGAGCTGCAGACGGCTAAGAATGAACAGCAGGGTATCCGCGGGTCCTTAAAAAGTCTTAAAAAGTCTTAAATTAGCTTTTCCTAATTTAAGGCCTTAAAAGTCCTTAAAAATGACAAATAATCCTTAAATCCAGTTTCCAGAGGTCTTAAATTACCAAAGACCCAATAAACAAGATTCTTTTATTTCTATAAAAATTTCGTGAATTTCTAGTTAGTGTTCAGCATTTTTTGTGTATGACGTTGACGTAAGCGGAACCGTACGCAGTCAGTTGGTTGTGAAAGGGGGCTATTTTTCTAGATAAGCACATTAGCTGGTTAAGCTAGTGGGAGCTTGCGCCATGGGGAAGGGCAAGTTTAATGGTAACTGGATGGTTAATCCCACATTCGCGACGCGGTTAGCACCGGTTCCAGGCAATAGCTGGAAATTATCGCTTAAATTTAATTTTTAAAATAGCTTAAATTTGGTCAAAGTGGCCTTAAAAAAGGTCTTAAAAAGTCTTAAATTTGGCTCCCTTAAATCTGCAGATACCCTGGAACAGGATGGTGGGGACTGCTCTTCTGCTCATAGAGTTGGACATTCATCGTGTTTTTATGTACAGCCCTAGCTTATGATTCAGTTAATCCGGACCTAGGGGTGAATCACTTTATTAAAGTTAACACAGAAGAAGCCCAAAACGTTGATATTTTTTTAGACAAGCGCAGCACATACGTTTGCTGGAAGAGGAATTTATCATTTTCTTTTTGTTTAATTTTGTATTTGTAGTTTGGTAGAGTGACGTGTGAACGGCCCGTATTAAACACGGTTAAAATGTTAAAAAGAAGCCTCATCTTTGTTTCCCTCTGATGCCCACTGTTGTGGTTTTTATTTAAGCAAAATGTTTCTTTATGAACATCAGTGGGGGATGGAATGAGTCGCTGCTGCGTTTGGACGCACTCTGAGGTGGCAGCTCACTGCCAGAGGTCACATGATCCATTTATCCCTGTCGCTTTAAATTATTAATCATTCGCTAAATTTCCATTCATTTTAATTAATATTTAGTCCAACCAAGCTGATCAGAATGCCTCAGTAACACGAACAATGCAATTCATCCATTTCACTTAAATTAGGAACGTTTCACCTGCTGCGGCTCGAACGCACATTCCTCCTGCGCCGCGTGAACCTGAACTGGTCACCTGCAGCTTGTGTGTAATCAAATGAGCTTCTAGACTTTAGCCTCAGACAGACTCTTGGCTGTTAAAATATTGTTCTGGATGGATCCGTGCTCTGCTGACACACTCGACGCAGGTGCTGAATAACGAGCGCTACTTCAGCCAAAGTTTTAAATCAGGAAACATATCTCCAAATGAAATAACCAGAAGTCTTCCAGACTCTGAACGATAGAGTTTCCACGTTCCACTCAACGCCGCGCTGTAGTGCACGATGTCGAGTGCGTCACAGCTGCTCTCCAAACCCCTCCTCTGCGCGCGCACTGTCAGCAGCCAGAGGCGGAGGAGGTGAGATGAGGCTCAGATGCGCTGATGGAGATCTTTCCTTGATTGTAAGCTCCGCGATGTTCTCTGTGTGTAGCATGTAAAACATTTGTCAATAACAAACAAATAAATAAGTAAATAAACAAATCGCCTCCTGTAAAAAACAACCGTAACAGCTCAGCCCATTCGTCCCATCGCCCAACCTTAATATATACATAAATGTTTATGTTTATTTATTTAGCAGACGCTTTTATCCAAAGCGACTTACAATTTATAACCTATAGGGCATGTTGTGATCTGTGGGGGAAACCGGAGTACCCGGAGGAAACCCACGCATGCATGGGGAGAACACGCAACTCCACGCAGAAAGGCCGCAGTCGAGTTTCGAACCTGCGACCTTCGTGCTGCGAGGCAACAGTGCTAACCACTGCACCACCATGCAGCCCATAAATATCTATATGTGGACAGAAAGAAGAAAAAACGCAGAAGGAATTCCTTCTTTCTGTCATAAGTTGTTAGCATGATTGTTCTGCCAATTCTGAGCTAAACCCACTGCAATAAAAGGATGAAGGCACAGCAGTTGTGGTCAAATCTTGTAAATAACATTATGTGCTGTCTCACACACAGCCTATGTGTCTCCGCTGCTGTCAGATCAAACCGTGGCTCAGGACCAGGGTTATACACTGATAGATGGGGGGTTAGCATGAGCCTTACAGCTGTGGCTGATTATAAATGTAGATCTTATTGTGAGGTAGATGGTATTAACATTTAAAGCGACCGCAGCGGCCACATGTCGTCAGTCGCCACATTTAAATAAGCGTTCGTTTAGGTTTTTATTTGAGTAAAGTGTAAACAGATGTAAAGCTGGGGCGCTGCTCCTGAGATGTTTCCAGAGAACCGGAGGTCAGCACAAAGACAAACTGTTTCGTTTGAGCATCGACTTCACAGTGTGCGTGTGTGATGGTCACATCACAGGTCCCGCTGCCGTGTCAAAGGTTAATGAGCTCAACGGGAGTCGGCGCTATAAAAGTCTGAAGCTGATATGAGGATGTTAACGGAGGATACGATGAAGCTTTTGTAAAGCCCTTTTCAGACAGACATTCTGGAACATTTGCGGACAATTCAATCCGGTTTTTAACCAGAACTGTGTTTTCAGACACACCACTTTTGTACTGGAACTTGTCCTTTCGGCTGCGTTCACACAGCAGGGAAAAGTTCCAGATGTCTGACGGCAGCGGGGGGTGGGGTGGGGGGGAATCGGACTTATGTTAAGAAGAAGAAGAAGAAAATATCATTTCTATAGCGCCTCTCAAGATAAAAATCACGAGGCGCTTAAGCATAATTCTGCGCACACGAAGACACATAAGAGACCTGGATGGTGAAGCTCAATGGTAGGGCTGGGGGTAAACGATTATTTTTAAAACGATTATTCTGACGATTATTTTATCGAATAGTCGACTATTCTAATGACTATTTAGAAAATTAATCTAATGATTATTTTTCTATTGCACAATTAACAAAAACCAGAAAATCTCAAATAAATTCCTCAAAAAAATTGATAAATTCTTACTGTAAGAGAATAAACACTACAGGCCTTCCATTTTGTATTACACTGCTTTTATTGTGTTGGTTGGTTATGTTCTGGTGACATTAGAACTTGGGAGTGCAGGCTGCTGCCTGAGAGGTGGTAGAAGATGGAGTGTCTCCATGCTGCTTTGTTTTGGTCACTTATGTGCGTGAGGCGAGTGGTGTTACGGGTTAAACCAAACTCAAGGTGATATTTTAAACTAAACCGAAAACCCACAACACTCTAAATGTAATAAAAAGGGAGATCTACACCACAAAAAAGATTAACTCTAAACCAAAACGTAACAGCTTATCCCAACGCAAGAAGCTGTTAGCGAAGATGCTAACAGTAGCTTTACCAACATTAAGTTCAAGTTACCAAGTTTAAATAAACCAAAAACACCCAGCAGCAAACAGACCAGCATGGAGGAGAGACTGCTACCACCAAAACAGCTCTCCTCATGTCTGAAAGAAGCTCCTTAATGAAGGGAGAAGCGCTCCCGGTGATTTTCTACATCTGCGACAGAGACGGAGCAGCGCATCTGACCCCGGAAGTTGTTGTCCGTTGCCGGGAGACGAAGGGGCAAAACAGGAAAATAATCTAGTAGTGGACGGACGTTGTTCCGGGTCTTCGGTATTTGGCGGAGATGTTAGTGAAGGCGGAGAAGAGGGCGAACTACAGGAAAAACAGGCAGATTCCTCCTCTATTTACAAACTCCTGGGGATGCAACAAGTGGGCGCGGTGCGTCGACTTCCGGATCTGACGTCGACAAATTTTTAGAATCGAGCCGTCGACTTCGTCGAGGCTTCGCTACAGCCCTACTCAATGGTTAAAGGAATCACTGAAGCGGTGTGAAGCGCTCCGTCGCGCGTCTAGATGGTACCGTAGGAGGCGAGCTGCTGTGGTTCGCATCCCCCGGTCCCCTCCTCCTCCCCCTCCCTCTTGTCCGGAACTTTACCTCACCAGTCTGAAGCAGCCACCCTGTCCGTAACAAGTCCGGACATGTTACTAGGGGCTTCGTCCGGATAAATTCCGGAGCACGTTATCCGGATGTTTGTATTCAGACAGAAAGGTCTTACGGACAGATTCCGGAACATTTCCGTTTTTCATGGCCTGTCTGAAGGGGGCTTTAGAGAGTCATCTGAACACAACAGTCATTGTGTGACTGACTGACACAATTGGAAGGTTGCAGGTTCGAGCCCCGCGCAGGCTGTCGCTGTCGTTGTGTCCTTGGGCAAGACACTTAACCCACGTTGCCTGCTGGTGGTGGTCGGTGGGACCGGTGGCGCCAGTGCTCGGCAGCCTCGCCTCTGTCAGTGCTCCTCAGGGCAGCTGTGGCTACATCTTAGCTCATCGCCACCAGGGTGTGAATGTGTGTGTGAATGGGTGAATGACTGATTGTGTTGTAAAGCGCCTTGGGGGGTTCCAGGACTCTAGAAGGCGCTATATCAAATACAGACCATTTACCATTTAACATGAACGTCATTTTCAGCGTGTGGATGTGAGACTTGTGGACTATTTTATAGGGCTGTAGCGAAGCCTCGACGAAGTCGACGGCTCGATTCTAAAAATTTGTCGACATCAGATCCGGAAGTCGACGCACCGCGCCCACTTGTTGCATCCCCAGGAGTTTGTAAATAGAGGAGGAATCTGCCTGTTTTTCCTGTAGTTCGCCCTCTTCTCCGCCTTCACTAACATCTCTACCAAATACCGAAGACCCGGAACAACGTCCGTCCACTACTAGATTATTTTCCTGTTTTGCCCCTTCGTCTCCCGGCAACGGACAACAACTTCCGGGGTCAGACGCGCTGCTTCGTGTCTATCGCAGATGTAGAAAATCACCGGGAGCGTTTCTCCCTTCATTAAGGAGCTTCTTTCAGACATGAGGAGAGCTGTTTTGGTGGTAGCAGTCTCTCCTCCGTGCTGGTCTGTTTGCTGCCGGGTGTTTTTGGTTTATTTAAACTTGGTAACTTGAACTTAATGTTGGTAAAGCTACTGTTAGCATCTTCGCTAACAGCTTCTTGCGTTGGGATAAGCTGTTACGTTTTGGTTTAGAGTTCATCTTTTTTGTGGTGTAGATCTCCCTTTTATTACATTTAGAGTGTTGTGGGTTTTCGGTTTAGTTTAAAATATCACCTTGAGTTTGGTTTAACCCGTAAGACCACTCGCCTCACGCACATAAGTGACCAAAACAAAGCAGCATGGAGACACTTCATCTTCTACCACCTCTCAGGGAGCAGCCTGCACTCCCAAGTTCTACACGTCACCAGAACATAACCAACCGCAACACAATAAAAGCAGTGTTATACAAAATGGAAGGCCTGTAGTGTTTATTCTCTTACAGTAAGAATTTATCAATTTTTTTGAGGAATTTATTTGAGATTTTCTGTTTTTTGTTAATTGTGCAATAGAAAAATAATCATTAGATTAATTTTCTAAATAGTCATTAGAATAGTCGGCTATTCGATAAAATAATCGTCAGAATAATCGTCGTCGTCGTCGTCTTCCTCCGCTTATCCGGGTCCGGGTCGCGGGGGCAGCATCCCAACTAGGGAGCTCCAGGCCGTCCTCTCCCCGGCCTTGTCCACCAGCTCCTCCGGCAGGACCCCAAGGCGTTCCCGGACCAGATTGGAGATGTAACTTCTCCAACGTGTCCTGGGTCGACCCGGGGGCCTTCTGCCGGCAGGACATGCCCGAAACACCTCCCCGGGGAGGCGTCCAGGAGGCATCCTGACCAGATGCCCAAACCACCTCAACTGGCTCCTTTCGATCCGGAGGAGCAGCGGTTCTACTCCGAGTCCCTCCCGAATGTCCGAGCTCCTCACCCTATCTCTAAGGCTGAGCCCGGCCACCCTACGGAGGAAACTCATTTCGGCCGCTTGTATCCGCGATCTCGTTCTTTCGGTCATTACCCAAAGCTCATGACCATAGGTGAGGATTGGGACGTAGATCGACCGGTAAATCGAGAGCCTGGCTTTCTGGCTCAGCTCCCTCTTCCCCACGACAGATCGGCTCAGCGTCCGCATCACTGCAGACGCCGAACCAATCCGCCTGTCGATCTCCCGATCCCTCCTACCCTCACTCGTGAACAAGACCCCGAGATACTTAAACTCCTCCACTTGAGGTAGGACCTCTCCCCCGACCCGGAGGTGGCAAGCCACCCTTTTCCGGTCGAGAACCATGGTCTCAGATTTGGAGGTGCTGATCCTCATCCCAGCCGCTTCACATTCGGCCGCGAACAGAATAATCGTTTTAAAAATAATCGTTTACCCCCAGCCCTACTATTTTATTGGTGGACATTAATTGGACCCTTGTGGGTGTAAAAAGTCAGTTTTTGTTTGAGATGGCTCTGCTCTGAGTCTTTAAAGGGCCAATTATTTGAGTTTTCAGAGTTGTTTGACAAAATGTTTTACTCTTTCTTCAGTGAAAGTGTTGAAGAAAACACAGATTAGACCCAAAAACTGTAATTGACCGGCCACGGTACATAAAAGGCCAACGGGATCATTGTCGACACACACAATTAGATCACACTTATGATCTCATTACTGAATAAAATAATCAAAGGTACAGATAAGCTGGCAGGATGGTAGCAGAAGCTAAATGCTGTTTAAAGGTAATACCACAGGGTTAGCAATAAATCACAGTGAACTTTTCCAGTACCATAGAGCAGCCCCAGTTAAAACAGCTTAGGACTCATGAAGACTCACCCTAATGGCTGACAGGCTCCAGGAGTGTTTTCACACATTTACTAATGAAATGCTGCTTATTTCTTTGTTCTGCATTTATTTTGTCAAAGGAAAGTGACACAATAGCACTAGACCATTAGTTTACATCTGTGCCAACAGCAAATGCGTCGTACTGGAAATAAGGATGAGAACAAGAGGATCCTGATGGACCTGGACGTGGTGCTGAAGAGTCACGACTGTCCTTACATCATCCAGTGCTACGGAGCCATAGTCACCAACGTGAGTCTCCTCTGAACGCTCCTGCTTCGTCCTAATAAATCCAAACTCAGTGTGTCGTTTTACACACCGCGTGAGTGTTTTCAGTCTGACTGAAACTCCCGATGAAGGTCTGAATGAACAAACTACTGTCTTAATCACAGCTGGTGAGCCTGACATCAGTTAGAACTAGGGATGGGTACCTTTGACATTTGAATCGATCCGGTACTTAACGGTACCAATTTTCGATACTTTTGAGTGTTTAATATTTTTAATTCTCTTTTATAATAAAAATATATATTTTTCTCATTATATAACCATATTTGATAAATATCACGATAAATAACATTCAACTGTTTGTATTTTAACATCGTCCTTGTAGTTTTATAAGCTGATAATTAAACTGAAGCAAACATCTTTACTGTGAACTAAATTTACTGTGTATCTTCATTCCTTTTGCCATCCTTTTTCAATTGATTTTTCCTACTGGGAAGTTAGAATTTCCGAGGAGAAAGCGAACGCACCATTAGCTGATAACAATGGTAGCAATGGAAGCTAACATACCAAGCTAACGTTATCTTAAACAGTTTATTTAACTGCTGGAGCAGATTAAAACGATGATGCCTCACACTTAGATCGTTGTCACTGGCTTCATCTTCACCCAATCACCCGTCGCATTTAGTAAAGAGAAGCCAAACTTTAGAGCGTGTTCATGTTCTTCTAGTCGGAAATTCGGAGTTCCGAGGAGAAAGCGAACGCACCATTAGTGAAACGGAAGCTAACAAATCAAGCTAACATCATCTTAAACATTTTATTTACCTACCAGAGCTTCTCCGTTTACATCTCGCTCGCAGCGACCGATGACATAATGCTCTTGCGCATGCGCAGCTGTCTAGGCAAGTTCTCGTTAAGAAGGACGGGTACCGAAACGAGGCACCGTTTCAAATGAAGTGAATCGGTGCTCGGTCGGTACTATGGAATTCGGTCGGTACCTTAAAAAGTACTGAATTCGGTACCCATCGCTAGTTAGAACCCCCCGCTATGTTAGACTCCTCTGGTTAGACCAGGTGTGTGTAAATGGCCAGTGAGTATTTATGAGTTTTCGTTACATTTACATACAGACGGATGTCTTCATTGCGATGGAGCTGATGGGGACATGTGCAGAGAAGCTGAAGAAGAGAATCCAGGGTCCCATCCCAGAGCGAATCTTGGGGAAGATGACAGTAGCAGTAAGACACACACACACGCGCACACACACACACACGCACACACACACACCAACGTGGGATTGTGTGTTTCTGCTGTAGATAGTGAAAGCGTTGTTGTACCTGAAAGAGAAACACGGTGTCATCCATCGGGACGTCAAACCCTCCAACATCCTCATCGATGCTAAAGGTCAGATCAAACTGTGTGACTTTGGCATCAGCGGCCGTCTCGTCGACTCCAAGGCGAAGACTCGCAGTGCTGGCTGTGCTGCCTACATGGCTGTAAGTAAGCACACACACACACACTGTAAAGCACTTGAGTTCAATTATGAATTTCTTCAGGCTGTCGGCATTTAAGAAGCTACAGGAGCAGAATCAGAACAAACAAAACGAATTAGAATACAATCAGCTTCAACTGAGTTATAGCCAAGTTCGTCTCATCAGAAATCCAAGTTCACCGATGAAACTCGCTCTGATGGACTGTCTGCTTTTCTGCAGCCTGAAAGGATAGACCCTCCAGATCCCACCAAACCAGACTATGACATCAGAGCAGACGTGTGGAGCCTCGGCATCTCTCTGGTAGGTCCTTCACCTGTTCTTAGCACCTGGATTACCTCGCGTTGGGACCGGTGTCGGTACAAGGTCTGCTCGGGTGCAAGATCGGCTCGGGGTCCGTCGCCTGCCGATGACGTCAAAGTAGTTGATTGGCTGAACATGAACCTTACGGAATTACGTAATCACGTTACGTTGGTCCAGGCAAATCTTTCTGTTGGAAAGATGGACGACTTTTACAAAGTCATTACCTCTTTGAAAATACACTTTTAGCATAGAGCTGCATGTATATTAGGGCTGAACGACTAACTGCATGTGCAACTAAACTGCGATGTGACAAAAGGAGATTTTCTAATCACAAAGGCTGCAATTTGGCAGCGAGTGGCTAGCGCAATGCTAATATACATGGAAAAACCCATAGGAATGCTAATGCTAATATCACCGATTACATTCTTACAAATTATGAATTAGAAACATGCCAAATGATTACATTTGGAGTCTAATAGAAAGTAAAACTACCATCAATCAAATAAGTACAGACAGGTATTTTAGTAAAGCCAGAAAACTTAACTCCAGAGTTTTGGCTAGCAGCTATGAGCGTACCTGAACTACGCATGGACAAGATGTCAAAAACTCTAAACACAAAATACTTCAATAAACGGGACACACTTCTTTCCTGCAAATACAATTTCACAGGTGTTGCTAATACCTATGATCCTTCAAGGGATGTGCTCAAAGAGGAGTTCAACATTATGAATAAAATAGTGTTTTATTTTACAAATACCATTATAAACACAAACTTACGTCTTAAGAAACATTATTTTAATAACAAAACTGCTAAAGTCTTTCCAACAGTATAGATGTGTAGTGTATTTTGTCTGAGTGGGTTTGCCGTACTTTGACGTCATCGGCAGTCGAAGGACCCCGAGCAGATCCTGTACCGACACCGGCGTCCCTAGTTCTAAGATTAAAAATGACCTGGTCACTCTCATAAACAAGGACAGAGTGGAAATGATCTTTAAGCAGCCAGTGTTTTATGTGTAGCTTTAAAACGCCCAGAAAACTGTTAAACCGACTTTTAATTGTTAGTTGAAATGTTTGCTCAATGGATGAAAAACATAAATAATAAATAATTGCAGAGGTAAACGCCAGAGTTCACCTGCTCCTCGGTGCTTTGTGAATGATCCGAGCTGGGACGCTGTCTCTTCTAGGTGGAGCTAGCTACAGGACAGTTTCCCTACAAGAACTGCAAGACTGACTTTGAAGTTCTGACCAAAGTGCTGCAGGAGGATCCTCCCCTCTTGCCTGTCGGCATGGGTTTCTCCCCTGACTTTCAGTCTTTCGTCAAAGATTGGTGAGTTGAGATCGCGCTAAAGCTGACGCGCCTCAGAGGCTCCAGTGCAAAACAGCTGTGGTCCAGTCTGTTTGCTTTAAATGTAAAGGCAACGATACGATTTCACTGTAAGACATAAATGAAAATGATTTTATGCTAATTATTTTCCAGCCTGACAAAGGATCACAGAAAAAGGCCAAAATACCATCAACTGCTTGTAAGTGAAGAAGCTTTTTTTTTATTTTTATTTTTTTTATTTTATTTTATTTTTACCCAAAAATCAAACACTGCATCCACTTATTGTTTGCATGTGTTTGTGTTGCTACAGGAGCACAGTTTCATCCAACGTTATGAAGTTCTGGAGGTGGATGTTGCTGGCTGGTTTCAGGCGGTGATGGATCGTACCGAATCACCTCGCAGCAGCCAGTGTTACACCCATCAGCACATGCTCCACTCGCTCTTCAGTAGGTAGCCTAGCCTTCGCCAGCACGGCGTTAGCTCCACCCTACGCTAGACTAGACCAGACCGGCTTTAGCTCGGCCTAGCGCAGGCTAAGTCTGTTTCAGGCTAGCTGTTAGCAGCTGCGCCCAGCTCCAGACCCAACCTGTCGATCCATCTGTCCACCAGAACACCTGAAGAGCCCATAGAGGAGAGAGACGGAGACTCAGTGGAGGACTCTAGATGAACAGATGGAGAGATGGATGGAGGTCCACTGACGGATAGATGAAAAAGTGTTTTTTTTTTTATTTAGTCGTGTGTAAACTTGGACTGACAGACATGAGGAGGAGGGAACATTAGAAGAATACACTTTTAGTTACCTTCACTCACACTCACACACACACTATCACACACTCATATTGTACTTCTAACAGTCACATGTTCACACAGATTCCAGCATGGATCCAAGCAGTTGGATCAACAGAGTAGTCACTACACACTGGAGTACGAGTCTGCTACTTTAGGACACAGAAGGACAAAGTATGTCTGTGCAATTAAGATTCTTCAAGTGTTTCTATTCTTCATCCTCAGGCTGAGTCTAAATGTTGTTCTAGGTGTGTGTGTGTGTGTGTATGGACAAATACCTTAACACTGGCTGTTTTTATCGGTGAGCCACTCACGATCACACTACAGCTCTGACACGAGGGTCTGCTCATTGGCTGGCTGTGTGTATGTAATACGTGTGTAGGCAGGCTAGGATGTACACACTTTGCTCTAAACGAGTTCGACTACAGGTTGCTTTATTTACAGTTGTTCTAACGGAGAAAACACAAAAAAATTAGTGTCGTAGCTTTGCAGTGATGTGTGTTTTTGTTTGTTGTGTATTTAGTGTTTCGTGAAAAGAGTGGATATTGAGAAGACGAGAGATGAGGTAAGGCGATGATGTCATGTGTTCTGGACCTTCCACTCCTTTTAGGAGTGGAAGACGGAAGGTCAGAGGTCAAAGTAAGACTGACTAGCTGTGTGTTTGGCACAAAGAACACGCGCTACATCGTTGTGGAGCCATTTCAAACACAAATCTCTGTCTACCTCTTCTTTCTTGTCTGTGGCTCTTTCTGTCAGCTGTTGAGCAGGATGTAGAGCTCCTCCGTTGTCAGACCAAAGGCTGGACGCAGGCTGCTGCTGGAGTCCAGGAGACACTGGGGTGGGATTGGTGTGGTTTTGGTTTGGATCCTATAGACGAGGTGTCAGCGCCTTGCCCGGATTTGCACGCAAACTCGCTTCTGACAGTCTTTTTATTTATTTATTTTTGTAAAACCAGATATGAATCCCCCACACGGGGAAACTTGCCTGGTGCCATGTCGTGTCATCATGCTGCTCCGGTATTTTAACATTAAAACATTCACCTGAAAGCAGCTTGTAGGACACCTGTCTGTAGGACCTGTCTCTTCTTATTGGCTACTGAGATCCAGGGACACGGACAGGTGGGCTGGGGATGATATCTAACCTGCAAATTAGCATCAGAAGGAGCTGCAACTTGTTGCTGCACAACAAATGTAAAACCTTTGGTTGGCACGTTTGGCTTGGTTTTGACACCTCTGAGGACAGAGGCACAGCTGAAACGCAGACGAGCCCTTCTGCCTCCCCTCCTGCAGGCCCACAGCCAAAGCCTACTAGACGTAGAAGCAGCCGCCATCGTGTCACACACACCGAACCAAACCACAGCGAGAGGACGTAAACAGTCGGGGAGTGAGGCCGAGAGGAACAGGCATGTTGTCAGGGTGGGAGAAAGGACGAGAGCAAATGAAACGGCAGGAACGTGAGAGGAGAACGTGGAGGGAAACGAGAGGGGTGATGGCGAGTGAAGGAAGTGAGAAAGAAAAAGACAAGTCCGAGACAAACGAGTTGAAGGGATGTTGAAGGTGTTGAGACGGGAGACGCCGACACAAAAACCAAGTTTCAGCGGCCAGCTGAGCTCCGAGGCCGGCTGGTTCCTGTAAAAAGCTTTCGTGGCGTTACACCGACCTGTCAGTAGGGTCTTAGTGGTGGTTGTTGTTGTTTACTATTCTGTGTTGTTTTCAGTTTTTCTACTGCTGCTTTTGTTTATCGCTTTAGACGCTGCTGTCACTTCTTTTCCCCAAAGGAGAGAAATATTTTATTCATGCTTTCTTTTATTTCAAGCCAAAAAAAAAACCATCTAATAATGCAAAGCCTACACATCTTACCAAAAACAGAAGAGCAAGTCCGAGGCAGGTAAACGTACGTGGGAGAGGGCTGAGATGTTCAGGGAGGCTCAAGAACTAACACACTTCTCACCTCAACTTTTAGCTCTGTGTGTTCATCATTAGCAAGGACACCACATTATGACTCTGTACAGTGTAGATAACACACTCAGGGGGTCTGTCTGTCCACAGTCCGTCCAGCAGTCCGTCCATCTGTCCATCCCTCCATCTGTCCACCGGTCGCCTGCAAGCTTGACAACCTTAACAGTTCACACCAAAGGTGACCACGACTCAGCAGAAGAGCTTTGTTCTCATCATGTTTGTGACTTTAGAAGTGAATGCTCTATGTGAAATCTCTCTAGCTTGTGTGTGTGTGTTGGGGGGGGGTGTTATAGTGCTCAGGGGGAGACTGGTGATAAAACCAGCCGTTTAACCAGTCCTGTGACAGCCTGTGTTCCTGACCAGTCAGAAGTAAACAACCACAGCTGTGGTGACTCGCTTACGTTCATTTAGACTTCTAGCACTGATGCCAACCAGGAGGTGTGTAGTTTTAATAGTGAGTACAGGTGAAACCTAAGTGTCTGATGTCATGGGCTAACTGGTGCTGTAAACTGGTTTTGTCTGAAAGCCTCCAGCTTTGTGCTTGGGTTAGGGCTGGACTCTGTTAGTTGACCTTTAACCTGGTGTACATAAACCAGGTGCTGCTGTCCTGCTCCGCTAGGTTAGCCTAACCCACTGGACCCAGTCTCCCACTGAGCGCTCCGCGTTTAAAGCTGTGTATCCACTCACACACACGTGTGTTTTGGTTTGTGATTGGACCGGGCATAAATCTGATCGTGAGCAAGTGTGTGTGGATGGACACACACACACACACACACACCAGTTGTATAAACTTGCTGATGCGGACTCCTGCCAGCACTGGCTTTATGTTTTTTAGCTCATGGAGTGTGAGATCAGCGATGTGTCTGAAGTGGTTTATCGTGTGTGTGTGTGTGTGTGTGTGTGTGTGTGTGTGTGTGTGTGTGTGTGTGTGCGTGCGTGCTCCATTTGTAAGTAAACCAAATATCATTTTCACTATGCAGTCATTGAAAGCATGCCAGAGAGAGAGCTTCCTGTACATACACAGAAACACACCACCTTCAGTTAGAGAGGGACGGAGCAGCAGCAACGTCGTGAATGAGCTGACAGATATTTAAGGATTGTATTGGGGGGGGGGGGTCAGTGCTGTAAACTATATCAGTTGCATGTTATTGTCACCGCTGTAACTGCCGTTGTTTTTGTTATGTTCCAAGACGATGGCCTGTTTGGGGCGGGGATGCACAAAACTTTATCTTATTTATGATTTTTACATATCTGGTATGTTTTTTTGTTTTTATATTTGAAAAAAATGTTGAACTATTGTGTATTTTAGAAAAACACACACTTTGCCTTTTTATGTTTTCTGTCAGTTCTTTACAACATACTGTTTCACTTTGGCCCCATCACATGATGATGATGAGGAGGAGGAGGAGGAGGAGGAGGAGGAGGAGCTGTACCTTTATTAGCCAACAGTGTTTGTTTGTTTGTTTCTGTTAGCGGGGCTGTTTGTTGGTCCCGTTTCCCTCCTTATGTGTCATACGTGTGCTGTGTGTGGCGTCTGTCCACCCAAAGGCTTTTATTCATGATGATTATTATAATTAGCTTTTATTTGTGTTATTTTATGGTTTGTTTATTATAATGATTACAGATTTGTTTTTATTATTCAGGGCAATGTTGACACCAAATTGAACAAAGACATAACGATCACACACTCTTGTATGTTTGGTAGCGATTTAGATGGAGCTGTAATCAAACGGCTGCATAAGGATGACCTCTGACCTGAAAGACTAGTAGTATTTTTTAATTATTGTTATATTTTATTTTCCTTTGATGATCAACTCTCTGGTTGATTTTTTTGTCCTTGTTACCCCGCACGGGTCATAAACTGTGTGCTGTCATTATATTTTCCCTTCACCTCCATTTGTTTTTATTTTCTTACGTATATTTTTAAAGTCTGTCGTGTTTTGTCTGATGCTGTAGTCATGAGCTTCTGGACAAATACCAGAGCGTTAATTTTATTTCTGATTTTGTATTTTATTGTCGAGACTGTGGTGACTCATGTTGCACTCGTGCTGGGGTTCTGTTATGTTTTGTATCGTCGATTATCGTGCGGAGAGAATACTTCCTGTTTTCTTAAAGTCACAGCTGTTATTTTATCAATCACACATCTGTGACACAAGAAAATGATTTGACAGTGTATTTTCCTCACTCATATTTATTTATTTGTCCTTTGTGTGTGTGTGTTGAATGATTTTGCGTGTGTGTTGAGATTGTTGGAAAAGGAGACTTTCTTTGGCATTTTATTTTTGTGTACAGAAGTTTTATTATATTGAATCATCCAACTAACTTGCAGTCAGTTTCATTAGATTTATCAGGTGAAATCGACACCAGCGGTTCAGTTTACTGTAACTGTCTATAATATTATTCTGTTTATTGTTTACCCTCTCCAAAGGCCCAGATAAACAAACTGCTTATGGTTTAAATCCACATCCAGCTGGATTATCCGCATTGTTTGAATTGTAGGTGGTGAGTGTTCACTGCCACCAGTTTATAGATATTAGAGCTGATAACTGTTATGATGATGGACCCTTGTTGTTACCCCCTCACCCCCTGGCAGCGAGGTGGAAGTCTGCAGCTTGGTTTAGCGATGTTGGTCCTCCCGTGTGAGTTTGGCTGGTTTGGGGTGTGAGGAGGGCGCCCACCGCTGTTTAAAGGCTTCTCACATGTAAGACACACCAATGTCTAAAAGTTGAGTCACTTTACCGCCCCCGTCTCAAGTTGTTTTTGCTTTTTGGCTGTATTTAAACACCACCACCCCAGTGATCCCTAGTCTCATTTCAAACTGATCAAATGCCATTATATTGTGAATACCTCAGGATTTTTTTTTTTTTTTGAGAAAAAATATAAAACTCTTAAAAATCAAATAAATAAAAACTCTGGAAAAAAGAAAGAACTTGTCATTGTGGCTTTCTTTTTTAATGACCAAAGACTGTTCTGGCCTCAAAATGTTACTAGATTAGAAAAGCCTGATTTGAAAAGATACATTTATTATTTTAATGTGACATCAGTCAGTTTTGCTTTTGTCCACCTGATGAAAATGTGCTTCTAGAAGAACAGACCCATGCCAGCAGCATTATGAATAAGCTACTTGTGATATTCTCCAGGATCACCTTTAGGGTTCAGTGGGTTTTCTTCTCTGTCCACCAGGGGGAGCCCTATATGACTTAAGATTAATCTGGATCTCACTACAAATGTATAAACTACTTTAATAAAATGAAAACCAAATGTAAAAGCAGTTGTTTTTCAGTTATTTTATTGGGGGGGGGGGGGGGGGGGGACTCAAACATTTTCTTCTGCTTGTCCGGGGTCAGGTCGCAGAGGCCCACACCTCCCTCTACCCAGCTACTTGGGCCAGCTCCTTCGGGGGAATCCCAAGGTGTTCCCTGGCCAGCTGAGAGACCTAGTCCATCCATCGTGTCCTGGGTCTTCCTCCTTTAGGGGGCAGCAGTAGTTCAGGAGGTAGAGTGGGTTGTACAGTAGTCAGAAGGTTGCAAGTTCGATCCGAGCTCCGACCAGAGAATAGTCAGGGACTGGTGGCGCCAGTGTTTGGCACCTCCGCCAGTGCGCCCCATGGCAGCTGTGGCTACATCGTGTGACTGATTGTGTTGTGAAGCACTTTGGGGGTTGTAGAACCCTAAGAAGGCACTATATAAATACAGGCCATTTACCATTTACAGCTAGCAATGCTGACCAAGCTCTGACACTGGTCATACAGGGACCAGCATCAAAGGGCCTGGTACCACACACCCCCGGGGTCCAAGTCCCTGGACTCTGGAAGGCATGCCGGTGGGATTGAGGAGGTCTTCAAAGTAATCAGCCCACCGATCCACAACGTCCCAAGTAGACCTCAGCAGCACACTGTCACCACTGTAAACAGTGTTGGTAGCGCACTGCTTTCCCCACCTGAGATGCCAGATGGTGGACCAGAATCTCTTTGAAGCCGTACGGAAGTCTTGCTCCATGGTCTCGCCAAACTCCTCCCACACCTGTGTTTTTGCCTTCACGACCACCCAAACTGCGTTCCGCTTGGACTGCCGGTACCCATCAGCTGCCTCTGGAGTCCCACAGGCCAAAAGACCCGATAGGACGCTTTTGTCAGCTTGACAGCATCCATAACCGCCAGTGTCCACCAGCGGGTTCAGAGGTTGCCACCATGACAGGCACTGTTCTCGGTAGTTATGCTGCTATAGGCTTAGACTGCTGGAGGACATACTGACCACTTTCCACACACTACTACTTTCTTCTACAATTTGCTCTTTAACTGTATTATTTCCTGCTATTTCAGCTGTTAACTTTAATTTCTCTCTAAGTGTTTTTCTCCTCAGAAGAAGCTACAATGATGATCCGCTGAGCTGTGGTGGCCTCATGGAGGGGGTCATCACCTTGAACACTGTTGCTAACCATTTAAACATTCTCCCTCTCCTGATGATAACATTTTACTTTCTTTGACATTGGATGTGCTACTACTAGTTTACCCATTTAATTATAGATTCACTATAATAAATACAATAAAGTTTATCTCTCACCAAATAGAATATTTACTAATAAATCACAATGTAACCATAGAAACATTACTTGGTGTGTGTGTGTGTGTGTGTGTGTGTGTGTGTGTGTGTGTGTGTGTGTGTGTGTGTGTGTGTGTGTGTGTGTGTGTGTGTGTGTGTGTGTGTGTCTGCTCTGTCTTCTTGATCCCCAGTGAGTCATGGTGGATGGCTGCTTCTACTGAGCCAGGATTCTCTGGAGTTTCTTCCTGTTAGATAGATCAACTTTATTGTCCACCTCGAATTGAGGCAGAAATTCGCCTTTGACATGGCTCACCTTACAATACAATCCATATCGCATTCACACAAATATATAAAAGACAATTAAAAGGTATTAAAATGTTATCATCGTAAAAAGAAAAAAAACTTTAA